TTGAGGTATCCTTCTTATGGAATGCACCAGTGCTAATAATTTGAATCCGATGTGACGAGTTAGCCATAAGTTAATGAATGAAAATCAATATTTGATAAAGCTATTAAATCGGTATTTACAGAGCCTAATAAGAACTCTAACCTTGCTTTCTGGAAAACTCACCAGGGCTTAAAATTTGAAGCCTATCAAACGAAGCATTCTCCAGTTATGGCACAGATTGCAACGATTTCGAGTTTTATAAACACAATTTAATGTATTGACAAATTAGTCCCCACAGAAACTTAATGGATACTATCCTGGCCCCCAGACACATCACCCATTAAACGTGTTTGCTTAGGTGGTATATCTTTTCACTGGATTCACAAGGTATAAAACACCGGGATATATATAAAATATATATATATATATATATATATATATATATATATTTATATATATATATATATATATATATATATATATATATATATTTATATACAAACTGGAGGTGTACATTTGCTTACATCAAACAAGTGCATATTTCTGGTGTATGTACACCCGTAAAAATGTCCATGGAGAGTTTAGAGAGGTAAGTAACTATCGATTTATATCCCCTCAAGGAAGGTTCCTTGACGCTGGTGAGGGGCTCTTGATCTAGGGAATTGGATCTGTGCTCCAGTTACCTGAATTAAGCCTGAATACCTTCCATCCCCTCCTACATGAGCTGTATAAACCTACATCATTTATTAGTGTATTTGGCAGCGCTGTATAGCCCTTGTGGCTTAGCGCTTTTTATAATAATAATAATAATAATAATAATAATAATATTAGTGTATTTACGCAGCTGTGTATGTGTATATATACTGAGTTGACTTGAATTCCTATTGCATAGATTCAACAATTTTTTATATTTTATGAGTTGTAGCCTTATCGACACAGTCGATTGAGTTTAATACTCTCTATTTCGAGAAACGTTTAACCCGTAGGGGGGTTATATAGCACCTGGGGAAAGGTAAGCAATCTGGTGTGATCCGAGGAAATGGATGGTAGCTCAATTCCCTGAACAAAGAGCCCGTCACCGACGTTTAGGCTCGTGTCTGCGTTAAACCAAAAGTACTTATGGGAAATATTACTATTCAAAACCCTCATTTCGTTGTTTTAAGCTGTTAGAAAATAGTGAATCTCTTGCAGATACTCTGTGACCCCACCCATATTTCAAGCCTCAAACCTTTTTGCATCTGAGGATTAAAGCAAAGCAACATTTTACTCGACTTTTCCCGTGACCGAGCCTCTATGACGTAAATTTATTATGTGGCTGGAGGTAGGGACTAAGTTAATTAGTTATTGGAGGCTAAACTCACAGATTTACGTCTGGTCTCGTTAAGCCGGCGCCCCTTGATGGTAACCCAACCCGTCACCCGACTCCCCCTTCGATGCTCGCCCTGTCCGAGGCCTTCACTGGCTCTGGCTACGACTTACCCTTATGTGTGTGTGTGTGTGTGTGTGTGCGTGGACATACGTACGTACTTAACCTAAGTGGTCGCAAGAGTCGAATCTCGTTAAAGTATCCTTGACCAAGAGGTTATATGCAACTTTAATAACCCTCGTGTAGTTTCCAGGCTTTAAACTGAATTTACAAACCATTATTCTCTCGTGTACACTTGTCGGTATACATGACAGAATCACGGAAACTTTGGAAGGAAACCAAAACGCAGATGTGATAGATTTTGCTTAGGCCTTTGACAAATGCATTCATGGGGTAATCGCACACAAAATGAGGGCCATAGGCATAACGGGGGAAGGTAAGACATTAGATTTTCAGGTTTCTAACACAACGAAAAGAGTAGAAGTAGAGCTAAATCCAACATTAGCAAGGTTATAAATACAAAGTTCATTTCCCCAAGGCATCATTTTGGCACCTCTGCTGTTTATCCTCAGTCAGTTTTCTATCATCGTTTGCAGATGACACTAAAATATGCATGAAAGTAACCTTGGTAAAATACGCTAAAAAATACAATGAAAGGAACACTCGCAAGACCTAGGAATTATTATCGGCTGACCTTTCTTGCAAAGACCACAATAAGGCAAATGTCACGATAGCCAAGAAGTGACGGGGTGGATAATGAGAACTTTCAAAACAAGGGAAATGGTGTCAGCGGTGACACTTCATATTCCTTGTGTTCTCATTTGAAATATTGCCCATTGTTGACAGCCCCGTTCAGGGCAGGAGAAATATCAGTGCTGGAACAGAAAGATGTCGTTTACCCCCATCATAGAGCCAATAAAGCATTTAAATTACTGGGAACGCCATGGTGTCCTAAATAAGTACTCAGTTGAGTGGAGGAGAGAGAGAAGCATGCATGGTAATATATACCTGGAGTTTACCTGGAGAGAGTTCCGGGGGTCAACGCCCCCGCGGCCCGGTCTGTGACCAGGCCTCCTGGTGGATCAGAGCCTGATCAACCAGGCTGTTACTGCTGGCTGCACGCAAACCAACGTACGAGCCACAGCCCGGCTGATCAGGAACTGACTTTAGGTGCTTGTCCAGTGCCAGCTTGAAGACTGCCAGGAGTCTGTTGGTAATCCCCCTTATGTATGCTGGGAGGCAGTTGAACAGTCTCGGGCCCCTGACACTTATTGTATGGTCTCTTAACGTGCTAGTGACACCCCTGCTTTTCATTGGGGGGATGGTGCATCGTCTGCCAAGTCTTTTGCTTTCGTAGTGAGTGATTTTCGTGTGCAAGTTCGGTACAAGTCTCAAATCTGCACACTGCCCATAACATATTACTGGGGTGAGAGCTATAAGAGAAAGTGCAAAATAAATTTCCTCAGTGAAGAGTAGGAGCGTCCTGGGCCCTTTATCAACATCGTGGCCCCAGACTATTCAACATCTTACCGGAAGATATCAAGACACACTGCTGGAACAAGTGTAGAAATCTTTCAAGACGTAACTGGGCAAGTATCTTTACCAGGTGCTAGATCAACCAGGCTGTGATGGATATGAGTCGGCAGGCCCCCCTAGCAGCAACAACAGCCTGGTTGACCAGGCTAGCACCAAACGAGCCTGACCCAAGGTCAGGCTCTAGGAATAGAACAACCCTCGGAACTCATCATAGATAAGGATTAAGTTATATTTTAGGTAGTTGATAGGCTTTCAATCAGGATATCACTTCTGACATATTAACATTGAAAACGTGTGCGTACACTGGCGCGGGGTGTATAGTAATGTATATAGTTGACTGTGACATTGAGGATTTATAGAGAGGTCCCTTGATGCTGGTGAGTCTTGATGCAAGGAATTGAGCCTATTCTACCTTCCCCTTTCTTGGCTTGAGTCTGATTACCTCCCATCCCCCCAGGAACTTTATAACCCCTACGGGTGTACAGCTTTCCCCTAAATATGAAAATTATATTTGGGAGATGACCACCCAAATAAAATTGTTTTGTTTCATAATCACTGTAAATCTTAAGGGGTCCAAAGTTTATATACACTTATTATATAGTTCGGGAATTTTAAATTAGTATATATTCCAAAATGTAAGATTAATATATAGTCTCGTAATTAAAAAAGCAGTGCAGTTCGAGAATCATTTTAAAATATAGTTTGAAATAACGTTGACGTTTGCCAGAACAACGGTGACTTTTCCTTCCACAGACCCTTCAGAATAAATCGCGGAGTGAAAGATATTAATGCCTAAGGTGGCACCATGGGTAAGGTCTCCCATGTCTTTATTACCAAGCCATCCTCCATGACGGGAGGGCCGGTGGGTGAGCGGTCGCCAAGGCAACACTGGCAGGGGAGGGAGGGGGAAACGTGACAAGTTTTTCATGGTTTAACATTTTAAGTTAGAGACGCTGATACAACCGTGTCATTGCTCTTCCATGTGCTACACATATACATGTTGATAATTCCGGGAAATATGGCCATCTTTCCCCGGCTTGCTCTCGCACCAGGCCTTCAAAACTGGAAAGGAAATAGTGGTACCTCGGGATACGATATTACAGGGAAAAGATTACACACGAAATGAAAGTGTATATTGAATGAGAGTAAAGGGTTATAAGATTTACCTCTCATGGCATAGAGGAAAATGCCAGGTTTTTGTTTTCTAAATGACTAGGTGGTAGTACCTCCCAGGGTGGTTGCTGTCTACCAGTCTACCGTCAGAGTGCAAAACATTTAACAGGCTTAAGTTTCACGCTTACACGAGAATGGTAGTACGTTATCTCTCATTTTACGTTTTTCAAGAGTGCAGGTTCAAGACTGTATGAATGATTTCTTATACAGTGGGTTAATTTTGTCCTCTTTATTCTTCAATTTATTTATATGTATTATGTATGATGGAGACCAGAACCTGTGCCGCACAAATTGAGAGCTAATGTATAGAGTCGTTGATCAGCTTTCGGACTTATATTGCTTAAGCTAATACTCTAAGTTCCACGCGTTTAAGGAGAGGGGGGGGGGAATCACCTATACCAAAGGCAAATCAGTGTTTGCTAATGGCACAAACAAACCTAAATGGAGACAAGGAAGAGATAGAAAAGTGTATATTTCTGCGTCTTTCTGATGTCATTTGACTTTACGAAGACACTGGCATTTGGTCGATATAGACAGTACTTTTTCGTAGTTTAGTTTTATTTTCTGTGTGCCTAACTCAGATTAGTTGCTAGAATTCGTATCTAGGGAAGTAAATCTTGAAATATCCATGCGTGTTCGTAGGTGTCTTTAAAAAATTTTTATCATGCCTGTGTGTTTGGGTTTTTTCAACTTTTTTTTTTATCTGAATTGATTTAGGGTAGCGAAGGGGGAAGGGAGTTGATGGGTGTTTATTCTTTCTTTCCTTCGATGAAGAAGGGGGGGGGTCCTTCATTATGGTGAAGGGACTGGAACTACCTTCTTCATCCTTGGATCATCCCTGATTACCTTTCAGTTTCCCACCCGCTGTATGACCATTATGGATTTAACGCTTTCCTATAAATATAACAATCATGCAAGATGTTTAAAGTCATCTGTTGTGTTTCAGGGACCTGCTGTTGGGCCCCCACGGCGATGGCTCCGTCATGTCCCACCCCTTCGATCCGACCGGCCACGATATGCGCGCCATGTACGTGGCTAAGATGACTTACGATCCTTCCAAAATGGGCTACGATCCCACCAAGATGGGCTATGACCCCGCCAAGATGGGCTACGATCCCGCTAAGATGGGCTACGACCCAAGCCTACCTAGCATGGCGCCACGACACAATATCATGAAGCCAGAGATGTTGGCCCAACACCTCAAGCCTGAGGCTGCCTCTCTCCTACATCACTTCCCCAACATGGCTGCCGCTGCCGCTGCCTCATACCCTTACCACGGGTACGACGCGACGCTGCAGGCGGTCACCACGGCTGCCCACCAAGACATGTGAGAGGAAAACCCGCCGTTGTTATGGGTAAATGTCTAATTTAGCCCTCAAGACCAGTGTCTGCGGCGTCGCTCAGCAGACCAAGAATACCACACTTCTGCAGGCCAGAAGGTGAGACTGAGGTGTAGTGCTTAGTACAGTGAACCGACGCCAAGATTGTGGCAGCTGGTACTCGACATGTATCCGGCTCACAATTGAGAGAACTGATTCAATACCTGGGCGAGACAAGACGATATGTAAATCTTTCCTAGCATCTGCACTTGTTCATCTAGCAGAAAACAGGTACCTTGGTGTTAGTTGACTGTCGTGGGTCGCATCGTAGGAAAGTTTACCTAACGAACATAGCGAAATAGATCGCACTGCTTGACTTTCCTAGGTTATCCTATGTTATTAACCCTCCGAGGTTAATAATAAAGTCTTTTGCAGGTGAGTGTGGTATCCGCTATAGCTCTTGCTGGTGCTAGTGACTGGTATCAGACTGAGCGTGCCCAGACAAGTGGCACCACAACACCCACTCCTGGTCATCACTACCGTCCTGGACAAATGTAAAATGTTGTGACAACCTTAGTGTCGTGAACAGCTACCAGTCTCGGGTCACGACCTCTGTGGTTGGGTCGGCTGAGGGGACGCCTTGGGGTCAGGTGAATCTGTCCCTCCATTATGTATGTGACCTTAAGCTCCCCTTTCAGTGAACTGAGCGTCAACTCGTGAACCTAAATAGTGAAAACGTCAGTCCCAACTACGAACATCTAGTGCTGAAGGGATTTGGGAACCACTGAAGTGGTTGGGTAATAGCTGAAATTGCTGAGATATAGATAAATTGTGGGACTTTGTAAAGGGTGATGACGAGTATTATTGAAACTGAACCTTGGTTTAATACGAAATGGAGGATTGTAAAACGTTTGATAAAAGGCTCTAAATTTCTTGAACGTTCATAACTCCGTAACTTCCTGAACCTTTCCTCTTGAAATTCGAACATTTGTTCAAGCGTTCAAATGTTGCAATCCGGATTTCTCAGAAGTAGTGTCCAGTTTTTCATTCCATTCCCACTGTAGCCAGCCTGTACCTATCATTTTATTTTAAACATGTCACAATATTCCACTTTCTTAATTTCATGTAATGAAATTCTCGTAAAGTGATGCTGTACCTTAATTATGTACCCCGTATAATCCTCCTGTGGGTGGTGGGGAGACCCATCCTGTGAGCGATAATGAACAGATTCTAGGTTGATTGCTACTTATGTAAATGTCATTCCAGTGACGTAGTTTGACGGTCCAGTTATCTGTCCCAACGATAGGGTGCGCCGCTAGAAATAACCAAATAAAATGACAATAAAAGACCTCAGTTGGCGAGCTGACGACACGGACATCTCTAGTGTCTTAGACCAGCTAGATATGTGAGCGTGAAGGGATATATTTTTCATCCTAATGCAAAATATTTACTCTGAAAATGACTACCAGGTTCTTTATGGTATAGTTAGGTGCTGGTTCACGGTGATGATTGTTAGCTGAGAGAATGTTGATCGGTTTGTTAGCTAATTGAATGTTCATTGATTTGTTAGCTAACATTACAGACATATTAAGTGTAATAATCACTGGTTTGTTAGATTTGTATATATCTGCCAGTGTGCACTCAAGAGTTGTTTACGGGTGTCAAATCTTGGCCCCCCCCCCCCCCATTCCCCGGTTAAGCTACTTTGACTGGCATAATTAATTTCTAGCCACTTAAAACTTGTCATACCTAATCTTGAAATTGTGTATTAAATTTGCTTCCACGGCTACCTCATTTAACTCATTCCATTTTTTACCAATGAGATTAGTAAAGGCGTCCTTCCTAACATTCCTGATTAGTCTGTCTTCTGCTTCTGCCTATGGTCCATTGTCCCTGGTCTTTTTAATTTTATCCACCTTTTTCTTGTATATTCCTATTAATAGTCTATGGATTAGTCTGGCGGGTACATAGTTCAGTGCTCACTTGGAGTCCAAGAAGATGCAGTTCTCTTATTGCTGTCTTTTTCTCACTGTCGTAAATCTCAGGTATTTCAAGACTAAGATTTCACGTCCCTAAATCACTGCTAGTTTTCACTAACAATCCCTCTGTTCTGCAGGTGCTTTCATGTTTTCTTAAAACCTGTTGATAGTTTGCCTGTCTCCGTACTCATGGACATGTTATATTATCTGCACTTATTACTGGGCTAAGGAAATGGTGAGAACAAGCAGGTCAAACTTTCGAATAACACATGCGTAGTACTTAATTATCTATTATGGAGATGCTTAGGAGGTAATTTGAGTTAATTCCACATTTTTCTCTTAACTTATTCATCTACTTGTCGGTTTTGTAAGCCATTAATATAAAACAACAGATCTATACTGTGATATCTTTTGCTGATCTGTTACGCATCCTCCAGTTTAACTTAAGACCTACGTAGTCAATAATTGCATCATACTACACGTGTTTAAATTTTAGACTTGATAAAGCGGAACACTCAGTGAAACGTCAGAATAAAGAATTGCCATATAAACACTTCACCCAGTTTTTATGTTCATTTTTAGCAGGTTCATGAAAATGTTAAATAAGATATACAAAGTAAGATTATTTAACTACGTTTCGCTCTACAAGTAGCTTTGATAAAGCTCTGAGAGCGAAATATTTAAAAACAATCTTATTCTGTCCATGTATCATGAATTGACCAGTTTCAATGCACTTCATCCTTTGTTGTGGGATGTATCTTGTTCCTGTTTGACCGCTTCCAACTTCCCTTATTCCAGTTTGACCACTTCCAACTTCCCTTATTCCTGTTTGACCGCTTCCAACTTCCCTTGTTCCTGTTTGACCGCTTCCAACTTCCCTTATTCCTGTTTGACCGCTTTCAACTTCCCTTGTTCCTGTTTGACCGCTTCCAACTTCCCTTGTTCCTGTTTGACCGCTTCCAACTTCCCTTGTTCCTGTTTGACCGCTTCCAACTTCCCATATTCCTGTTTGACCGCTTCCAGCTTCCCTTATTCCTGTTTGACCACTTACAACATCCCTTATTCCTGTTTGACCGCTTCCAACTTCCCTTATTCCTGTTTGACCGCTTCCAACTTCCCTTATTCCTGTTTGACCACTTCCAACATCCCTTATTCCAGTTTGACCGCTTCCAACTTCCCTTATTCCTGTTTGACCGCTTCCAACTTCCCTTGTTCCAGTTTGACCGCTTCCAACTTCCCTTATTCCTGTTTGACCGCTTCCAACTTCCCTTGTTCCTGTTTGACCGCTTCCAACTTCCCTTATTTTCCTGTTTGGCCGCTTCCAACTTCCCTTGTTCCTGTTTGACCGCTTCCAACTTCCCTTGTTCCTGTTTGACCACTTCCAACATCCCTTATTCCTGTTTGACCACTTCCAACTTCCCTTGTTCCTGTTTGACCGCTTCCAACTTCCCATATTCCTGTTTGACCGCTTCCAGCTTCCCTTATTCCTGTTTGACCACTTCCAACATCCCTTATTCCTGTTTGACCACTTCCAACTTCCCTTATTCCTGTTTGACCGCTTCCAACTTCCCTTATTCCTGTTTGACCACTTCCAATTTCCCTTATTCCTGTTTGACCGCTTCCAACTTTCCTTATTCCTTTTTGACCACTTCCAATTTCCCTTATTCCTGTTTGACCGCTTCCAACATCCCTTATTCCTGTTTGACCGCTTCCAACTTCCCTTATTCCTGTTTGACCGCTTCCAACTTCCCTTATTCCTGTTTGAGCGCTTCCAACATCCCTTATTCCTGTTTGACCGCTTCCAACTTTCCTTATTCCTTTTTGACCACTTCCAATTTCCCTTATTCCTGTTTGACCACTTCCAACTTCCCTTATTCCTGTTTGACCGCTTCCAACTTCCCTTATTCCTGTTTGACCGCTTCCAACATCCCTTATTCCTGTTTGACCACTTCCAACTTCCCTTATTCCTGTTTGACCGCTTCCAACATCCCTTATTCCTGTTTGACCGCTTCCAACATCCCTTATTCCTGTTTGACCGCTTCCAACTTTCCTTATTCCTTTTTGACCACTTCCAACTTTCCTTATTCCTTTTTGACCACTTCCAATTTCCCTTATTCCTGTTTGACTGCTTCCAACTTCCCTTATTCCTGTTTGACCACTTCCAACTTTCCTTATTTCTGTTTGACCGCTTCCAACTTCCCTTATTCCTGTTTAACTGCTTCCAACTTATTCCTGTTTGACCGCTTCCAACATCCCTTATTCTTGTTTGACCGCTTTCAACTTCCCTTATTCCTGTTTGACCGCTTCCAGCTTCCCTTATTCCTGTTCATCTGCTTCCAGCTTCCCTTATTCCTGTTTGACTCCTTGTCTCCGCTAACTTTTTCATAAACCTCACTGTTATCCTCTTATTTGGCGTTAAGGAGGTTGAAACCTAACTCTGCCTCTTTAATTAGCTGGCATTTACTAATACCTATTTTTGAAACTGTTAAGTTTCTCTTTGCGTGTACTCACCTATTTGTGGTTGCAGAGGTCGAGTCACAGCTTCTGCAGCCGCCTTCGCTGGTTACTAGGTCCACTCTCCCTGTATGAGCTTTATCATATCACACTTCTATGCAGCTTTAGTTCTCCAACCGTGTGTATGACTGTTTGTTGGTGTGTGCATGTTTGTTCTGTATGTTTGTCGATGTGTGAATGCGTCTGTGGGTTGGTCTATCAATGACATCTCCACATACAAAAATAATACGGGCCATGTGCTGTAAATGAGTGAGATTGGGTCATCCCTCCATTCATTTATTGTACAGACGCTTAAGCTGTAAATCAGCAGGCTGTTTACCTGTAAATATTCCCAGTAAATTAAGTCAATAATGCAACTATTTATGACCATGAAAGGAGGAGCACTGGGCATTTACACCTACAAAATCAGATGAAATTGTGTTTTATCAAGAGAAATAGACAAACAAAAATTCTTGAATAATGCGGGTTAGGCGTATGATTACACAGTAACACCAATTTTTCAATAACTTTAATTATGAGGCATTACATTACTAGAAAAGGGATCCCAAATTTTTATACCCAATACCTAGTGACCTATGCTAAAATTTACATATGAAGTGACTTAATTTATCTAACCTGGTCCAGACCTGGCCACAGGGGCATTCACCCCTGAATCCTCTCCAGGTAATCCTTCTTTAACTGTTTTATGAATTCCATTTTATATAACTCATAAACCATTCCTGATATTAATAAAGAAAAAGGTCTGTGATAATGCACTTTGATGTTAGTATTATAATATACTTAATATTCCAGATATATTCAAAAGGATGTAGAATTTACTGTATTTTTTAAATAAGGGCAACTTTGTAAGGGAAATGCTGACAAATCTATGAGCAAATTGCTATGGTCTTTTGAGTTTATGGAGAATTTAAGTCTTCAAAGGTCAACATTCGTGGCATCACTCATTATTCACCCTTAGAATATGCTGTATTTGTAATTAATGCAATGAGGGAGCCTAAGTCTACCCTTCTTGAAAATGACTAAATATATTCACAGTTTTAATGTCAATATTGTTCTGAATAATAATAAAGTTAAGAGCTAACCTGAATATTGTCCCAAAGAAATGTCATACACCTAGAAAATAAAATTAGCAACTGAGGGAGTCATACAGGGTATAGACACCAAAAGGTGTATGTATATCTGTATACACCTAGAGGTCTATATCTGTGTATGCACATATACGGTGTGTATCTGAACATTCATCCAGAAGTGTGTTTATCAGTGTATTGTATATACAAAGGTGTATAAGTGTGTACATACAAGAAGTTTGGTTAAAATATCTTTACTATATCTCACAAGGTTCAAGCAGTTGTTCTCCTGATAAATGAAACTTTCTTATAAATACTTTCAATTGCTGTTAAAACTCAATGATTATCCTCAGAGGCCCTAAACTATTTACGTAATAATTTATTTTGTGACAGTACGTATTTTAAAATTCAATTAATGTGCATTTCACATGCACATAATACAATGCTGTCAGTTTTGTTAGAGGTTGTTGCAAGCAGGATCCTGTTAAAAAAAAAATTATTGGTTTGTACTGTTTTTTCTGGCACATAAGGCACTTGACAGAAGTATCATAGCAGTAAATCCTTGACTCTGACCTTTGAGCATATAAAGCACAGGGTGATTTTCAAAGACTGTGGGAAAAAAAAACGTGCCTTACATGCTAGAAAATACAGTGACTGTCTGAGCCAGGAATGCATTTTTATGCATATTAGACTTAATTATCAAGGGGTAAATGCTAAACCCATAGGGGTCAAACTGTATAGGAAATGAGAGGTAACCAGAATCAAGCTAAGTGAGAATAGGTCCACTTTCTTGGCACCACTTTTTGAGTATTGGCCTAAAACATTCCTCCAGTTACTATATCACCAGAGGCATTTCAGCCATTTAAGTTTCAGCCAACTATGCTATTATCTTCAGTTTTCAGCATTTCCATAATTACTATTCACCTTAAAATTACCAGAGCCAACACTTTGTAATACTGCATAAAGCCCTTGTTTCTCCCAATTGTAAATAAATAACTTAAGATTAAGTGTGTTATTAACTTTCCCAGGATAACAATACACTGCAGGACTGGAGAATTTTCATGTTTATTTGTGTTATGTTTAGACTGTTACATTCTTATTAAGAAGCCTTAAACCTGTAGCTGCCATGAAGTGCTTGAGAGGCAATCATATGGATCCAAAGAAGGGAAGTAGCAACTCCAGTTCCCTTAATCAAGAGCCCTTCACTGGCATTAAGGCACCTCCCATGAGGTTATGCTTTAGATGAGAAATAATGCATTCATGCACCTTGCAAACTGAGGGAAAAGTGCACCATATAACATTTTGAAATTATAAATATGTTGTATATTCTTATACATTAATATAGTAAATCATGACTTTTACAATATTCTTTACACGTGAATTTTTTGGTCTGTATGGTATAATTAATGTACCATCTCTAATATATATGTAAAAATGTATCTTTGTGTCTGTATTTTTTTTTTCAACAAGTTGGGGTCCTACTGTATATACACACTTGTCTCGCGTATGTTTAAATACATATATAAAACTCAATTAATGATACTCTATTATAAAATTCAATATTAATATAAAATTCATATAATACTGTTATAACTTGTAAAATTTACTTAATACTCTTATAAAATTCAATTAATACTAGTATAAAATGCAATTACAAAGTAATAATACTATATATAAAGTTCACTTAATACTATGAAATTCAACTGTGCTAATACTGTAATATAAAATTTAATACTATAAAATTCAATACTGGGGTAATACTACTAACATTCATGTTATTGCTTCTTAATACAGTGGACCCCCGCATAACGATCACCTCCGAATGCGACCAATTATGTAAGTGTATTTATGTAAGTGCGTTTGTACGTGTATGTTTGGGGGTCTGAAATAGACTAATCTACTTCACAATATTCCTTATGGGAACAAATTCGGTCAGTACTGGCACCTGAACATACTTCTGGAGTGAAAAAATATCGTTAACCGGGGGTCCACTGTATTGTTATCTCCGTAAACTGTTGGGACAGAAATCAAAATGTAGTTTAAGCATATTAAATTTCCCAAGGTCATTTACTTATTAGTAACTGAATGAAATTACTTCCTTGAAATTATGGGTTTTAAAGAATGTCTAAGAATATAACATAATACTTATGTAAAAGCACTCGTCAATAACATTCAAACCTTTTCAGGCGTAGAAAAAGGCTCCATCAGATTATATACACAGGTGTGAATCTTGGTATACTTTGTATAAACTGGTTGTATATCCGAGATACTTTTGTCTACGGTGTAAATGCAGTACATGGAGGTGTATTGTATATGTACCGTGTACACACTGATGTGCATATAGTGTATGTGTAATTTGTATATACTCGTCTTATTTAAATATCTATTTTAGTGAAGTACAATATTGTTGAATTTTAGTGTAAAGGTCCAGTGCTGTATGACCCTTGTGGGTTTAGCACTTAGTTTTGATTATAATAATTATTATAGTACAGGTGATTTGTGACCCTAAATGACCCTTCTGAACTGCAAGTATAACATGAAGAACTAGTCTCTGAATACTGATCTAAGTGAGAGTTTCTCCTAAATATTTTGTTCAACCATGTACTCCATATACTTAGCTTGTGCATACACACGCACACAATTTAATCGCCATCACAATAATACTAATGAGAGTATTATTTGAGGTCAAAATGTACAAATTTTTTTTTTTCTTCTATTCAAGTGGTTTCCCACTGGATACAGCAGTGGACTACTGATGGTGACGGAGAAGAGAGAGAGATGTGCAGAAGAGGCCTTTATTGAGTTTTTTTTAGTTGAGCCTTATCAAATTACTGACTTGATAAAGCTCTACATTGTGAAACATTATCACAATAAAGGCTTACTCTGTTCCTGTGTCTTTTCTTTCGAGCACTCTTCCCATTGGTGTTTTCCACTTGGTTGTGAATGATGAGCATACAATTTCTGCTCAAAACTTGGCACTGGGACTTGATAAAATATTAGTATAATATATATAAAATATTAGTACAGTACAAAAAAAAATATAATTTATGAAATTCATACTTTTCATGAATTTTTATTAAATATACTATATGAGGCATGTCAATGAGGATAAACCCTAACATTGAGTACTAAATACCATAAAACATTTAAATTATTAAAAAAAATGGAAAAAACTAATTTGTTTTGCTATACATGAACAGAATTTGCAGGGTTTATGTAACAAAGTTCAATTTAGAGTTCACTCTTGCTATCTGCAATGCCTCGTGTGTTAACTCTATTGACATTCACATACTATATTGTATTACTGAAATGAATCATTGTATTGTATAAATTTAAAAAATATTTAAGGTGCTTTGCTAGGCACTTAAAAAGGCAATTTATCACATACGTATATTCATTTCCAAAACAATACTGTGTAATTCAGACAGTGGCAATTAGGTAAACTAGTAATTTTAATTAAATTTATGGTGGCTCTGGAATTAACCATGCCTCTCAATGTAATTAAAAATTGTATTATCATTTATTTAATTCTTATATTTAAAAATATTTTTAATTGGAAAATCTTAAGTTACTTCCACTGGCTGCACAAGTATACACAGACTGGCCTAGTTTACACAGGTTGGCCTTAATCACCTAGCCTGACAGTTTATCACAGCCTGGCCTAGTTAATTATAGCCTGACATAGTGTACAAAGTCTGTCCTAGTTTGTCACAGTTTGGATAAGTTACTTAAGCAAAAGATTATAATCCCTGAACCATTAGTGAACAAACTAAGGTGTAAGCCAACAAATAGTTAGAAACCTTTATTGCAAAGTTTCATCCAGGGCTGTACTTTTAAGTATGTACACGGAAAACTCAAATACATACACTTCTTTATGAAACGAATGTTAGCACCCTGAGTTCAGGTTCAAGAAAGATTAAAAATGAGGTTAGTGATGTCATGGGGTTGAACATTCTGCATATTTAGGTGATGTGTGGGAGGGAAAGAGTTAGGGAAGGTCCCTAGTAAACTTTTATTATAACTACTGTATGTACAATATAAGCACTGGTAGCCCCAGTTTTGTAAATTCCCTCATTTGTGTCAGGTAAATTAGTAGTGGTTGCTTCTAGAATCCCGTGTTTAATTTTGTCCTGATAAAATTGCAGTGTTACCCCATACTCCGTGATATGAGATTTTAGATTACAGTGAAGGATGCACACACATTTTTAATATCATTTGTCCCACAACAAACATACATGTGTTCTTGCAGACAAGTCTGGAGGTCATGCCCCATCTCACCAATGAAAACTTTACATCAATGAAACATCAGTGAGGTAGGACATTACCTTCAGACTTACCTGTAGAAACACAAGTACACTTAAAAGATGGATATCAAAAATGTGTGCATCATTCAGAGCATCATGATGAACTCTGGAAAAGAACTACAACTGTATCAGGACACAATCAAATGCAGGATTCTGGAAGTAGCAATTAATTCAACTGACATCACTGAACTAAACAAGGAAATGCACACACTGCCAGATCCAATCACTTACACTGTAACCAGTTTATATTATGGAAACATTCTCTATGGATGTAAATTTGTGTGCCTCCCACCTCTTGCAGACTGGCACCTAAATATTCATATAGAGACCTCTCTCCATGACCTTGCTTGTAATCTCACTTTTGCCTTCTTCTGTGCCTTAGGGTGCTCGTTCACCACAAAGCAGAGAGAAAGTGTGTGTGTGTGTACATACAATTGTATATATAAATAAGTCCAGTCCTGGATGAAGTCATAATAAAGGTATCTGCAGTGTCTTTTTAATAACCATTAATGAATAAAAAGTGTAAAGGAAACTTTAGCAATGTTTACTAAAGTCTGTACAATGTTTACTCTTTAAAGAATATTTCTCTTAAAATTTACTCTAATCCCTGAAAACTACAGTACATGTAATATAATGTGCCAACAGATAATCTTCAGAAACCTTTCTGACGAGTCCTGAGTTAATCCCATACTTGAGCTGATACATAATACAGGATAAGTATTTCAAAAAATTATTTCATGTTCCAAGTACATACCTGAGCAGTTAGGTAGTGTTCCTATCTCTGAAGATGTCTTCATGCTCTAAACAGTTCTGATTTGGGACCATACTTTGAGCTGTTATATAGTATAAGTGTAACCAGAGGTGAAGTCTTCATATTGCATATGACACTGATTACAGAGGAATCTTCTTTGTCCAGTGTTTCACCACAAATTGACTTTTAAGTACATAAAACATGTACTCACCACAACTTTCATGATGCATCCAGAAAATCAGGTGCTGAGTGTGTGTGGTCATAGGCATTAGGTATTGAGTAGGGAAACACTGTAGCAGGCCTACTGGCTCATACTAGGTGTTTTTTTCTAATACGACATTGGTTATGAGTAGATGAGATAAACATTTCAGTTTTCACTTGTTAGCTGAATGGACAATGATTAAAGGCATCCTCATTTTATCTAGGAATGATGCTGGCCAGATAGTGATTCGGTGAATGGCGATAAATGTTTTCCTCTTTGTTGGGGTCACCCTACCTCAGTGGGAGACTGCTGGTTAAAAAAATTTTTTTTAATAGAAGTGTTGCTTTATCCCACATCACGAGATGGAAATTGATATAATGTGCCAGATGCAAGTGACTACTAGTTAGGTTGTTGGACCTGCAGTCATTTTTGTACCTGCAATCATACTGGGAGACTCGAGTCAGGTTTCCCTAGTGTAGACATGTTCTCACCCTCCATTGCAAACTCGGGCATCTTTTGGTTCCACAGTGGTTGTGGGATTACTGGTGAAGTCCCTGATGGTTTTGGTGATGACTTTTACCATGTCTATGTTGGAGTTTTGTACGGTAGAGGACACTGTGTTAGCAGTGGTCCCAGTGGGCCAGTACTTGGATTGTCAACTGGGTAGCAGCCCTGTTGTGTATTGTCAATATTCCACTTACACTAGAATATTACTTGGCAAAGACACTTCAAACAGAATAGTAGTCTGAATGCAGTCTTGTTCTACTGTAAGTGGAAGACTGACAATACACAACAGGGTTGCTACCCAGGATGAAACAGGTACATCATGCCCACTGGGACCACTGCCAATATAGTTTCCTAGATCCTATAAAAATTCAACACAGATGTGGCAAAAATCATTGCTAAGACATCAGGGACTTCGTGAGGACTCCCACAACTAATGTGAAACCAAAGGATGCCAGTTTATTGTATGCTGTGTGGAGGGTGTGTTCAGGTCTACATTTGGAAAATTGACTGAAATCTCCCAATACAATTACAAGAACATAAAAATGACTGCAGGGCTGACAACTTAATGCCAGCATCCTGCACCATTCCCTTCCCATCTCGTGGTGTGGGATAGAGCATTTCATATTAAGCATGGGAGGCACTAAACTTGTAGTCATACAGCACCTCAGAGCTATTTAGGTTTGATCCAAAAAAGGTAAAGTTCAGGTCCTTGGATCAAGAGCCCCTCAGCCACATCAAGGCACTCTTCTTAAGGGAGTGGGATAAAGGTACATTAGTTTATGTAATTGACATGATAAAATGCGGATGCCTTGAATCATTGTTCATTAAACTTAACATAATTGAACAAAACAGTGGAATGCTTGCTTCATTCACACCCATAACCCACATCATATTAAAACAAAGAAATAAAACCAACTTGTGGTGAAACAGCCTAGAATAAAGAATCCTGCAGTCAGTACCTTGCCATAACATCAGTACTTTACTATTTTTCTGGAGGTCTTAATGTCCCAAGCAATTCTGATTCCAGCACATATGCAGGCATGCTGTTAAGTAGTCTACACATCTTCAAAAGTGATATATTTGTTCCAAGCAACAGTCAATACATTAAACTACACGTGTGATTCCTCTGAAAAAAAAAAAAAGAAATCAGTCAACAACTGTTAATAAATGTTTTCACAATAACTTGTGTATTCCAGAAAAAAGATGAATGCTAATAAGCTGCTATTAAAAATGAAAAATAGTTAGCTCCATAAATCAGAGATGCTATGTATCATGTATATTACATTTGTATACTTACCTTTTCACCAACACTTCTGACTTATGGTGAATAGCGATCCGAGCTGTGTGCATCTGCATCAAAAAGTATGAAACACTAAAATTCAAGTTAATACATAAGCACTAATATTTACATAGTGTTTTTTATGTCATCTTTTACTTTGCTTTGATTAGTTTTTCCTTCATCTATTTCCTGCTAAAGTAACAAACATTATAGTAGTACAAATGTTTTAAGATCTGAAATCACTTTTAAAATATCAATGAAAAAATTCCAGAAAATATAAATATGTCACTTTTTAACTGGATAGCTGTATAGCCCTTGTGGCTTAGCGCTTCTTTTTGATTATAATAATAATTTAACTGGATATTACTGAAAAGGGGATTCCTGCAGTACAACAGTTTATTTTTTTTTTTTTTTAAGAATGTGGAGTTCCAATGCAGTAACTTTACAATGCCTCACATCTATCATATGATGACCTGCTCAAGGGTATCTGAATACCATCTTGAAGACAAAGTCAATGCTTAAATAGCTGCATCCTTGATTCAAGGTCATGGGTATAGTGCCCATAATATATAACACAACTGTAGCAAGATGGGTTGGATTAGATATTAGCACAACGTACTTGACACAAATGTATGACCCTTGTGGGTTTAGCACTTAAGTTTTGATTATAATAATGATAATGACTGACAAAGTGGAAGATGACATACAAAATTCACTTCTAAATGAACGACTTTGCTTTCTTTTATTTCAGCTTAGAATGCATGCAGGCACTTTGGTACCAACACATTGACAATGGAAAGAAAATTGCAGTACAGTATAGTATGCTAGGTAAATTATGGCAAACCTGCTTTAATCTACTCCAAAATATTAGCTGTCCCCCAACTTACGAATGCCAGTCATGAACGTCTACACGGAAGTGATGGAATCCATAAAAAATTTTTACAAAAATTGTTTTATGACTGTTGATGCACAGTTACAAATATGTGACACTACCATCTTTAGCAATATTCTTTATTTTTACAGAAAGTTAAGAATTACAAACAACTCATTGGTAAGTTGGAACACTGAAATGCAACTCCTTAGTTGGTTGAGGACCCCTTGTATAAATGAGCAACTGACAGCCCAGCAATATTAATACAACAATGGACATAAGTAACAAATATGAAACCAAGCTACAGAAGAGAGAATAAGAAGACTTACACCATGACTACCTAAGGTTCATAGCTAATTCCTGGAGAACTTGAAGCCAGTAACATGTGCACTTTAGCTACCAGTCTACTTAAAATGTGTGGGATATTAGTCATAAATATATATTAGCTACTGTATTTAACTTTGATTCACTAAGACTGTCTACAACAGCAGGTACATACTGTAGTTATATTATCTATGAGCTTTTATGATATTACAGTTATGAGCATGCTTATAGAGGCATTGAAGATACAGAAGTTACAGCAAACTCAACATCTGAATTTAACTAAATAATGCTTTCATGTCCCTATTTATGAATGTAAAAATAATAATTATAATAATAATAATAATCTTTTAAATCATGGTTATATTTCTCAATTTTTAACAGTTGTAATGTTTTTAATATAAAACCCTGTTTTAAGGTCATTTTTTTTACTTTAGCTATGATGTTGAGTTCACATTTACTGACTTTTATTTTGCAAGTGGTGTGGAGCAACTTTAGTATCTGATATGATAAAGTATTTAATTTTTTTTATAAGATGGACCAATAAGACAGCAAAATGCCACACTCAGATGATCAAAAAGTCTAGAGTAAATCCAATACCAGAAGAAATTATCTTGTCTCCTGACAAACAAAAGACCAACACATTATTAGCAAAGCCTATGTTTTCACCAAAGCCCTCCTGGTCAGTTATTATGAGAAAAAAATAAGTAGCAGTGCTTGATGACTTATAACTAACCTGTATAATCTGAGAAGTGTCTTGGCTCTGGCTCCACATGTACTGGATGAACTGGAAAAAACAAGGCATATTCATTACAAAGTTATTATGCATTTTTAATTAGCTTTCAGGTTCTTGTATAAAAATTTTTAAATCTATTTTCTTTTGTGTACTTATGCTAATGCCTTAAGCAACTGTTTTGACAATATTGTAACTAAATACTAACTGCTTCATTAATGGAACTACTTCACTTCAAAATCCCACACAGTATGTAGTGATAGTCAACGTTATTTTAAGATGTTACAAGGCAGCTCTATCTACACAACCGAATAGCTTCCTCCATTCTCTGATGTAGGCTGTCTATTCATCACTCTAAATCAGCAGTTCTTAACCGGGGATTGGGGACTCACTGCCCTAGGGAAGTGAACCTAAAGCAAAAATAAAAAAATACGTGTGTTTGCGATTTACTCCTTAAACACTCTTTTGATTAGTTAAAAAATAATCAAAACTAAGAATGAAAACCAGTTTCTAAATTTTCCTATTTAACTAAAGAAAACTTTTTTAATTTTTACATTTAAAATTTTATTTGAAGGAAGGAGGGAGGGGGCACATAGATATGAGGACAATTGCAACAGGGGACATGACCCAAAATAGGTTAAGAACCTCTGCTCTAAACTGTCGTACTTCACTCCTGTGTATCTTCCTTACAACCACATCATCAGCAATATTCTTCAGGGGTTCAAACCTTTGTAGAGCATTGTTACTGACACATTATCACTTCACATCTGTACCAGTACATATATTGACCACTGACTAACACCTGTTCATTGTACAGTGGACCCCCGGTTAACGATATTTTTTCACTCCATAAGTATGTTCAGGTGCCAGTGCTGACCGAATTTATTCCCATAAGGAATATTGTGAAGTAGATTAGTCCATTTCAGAACCCCAAACATACACGTACAAACGCACTTACATAAATACACTTACATAATTGGTCGCATTCGGAGGTAATCGTTATGCGGGGGTCCACTGTATAATTCATCACAGATGTTAGCTACAAAGACTACTTGGAAGCTTAAAACAAACATGCATAAATAAAGCCTCACAATATTAATATGCCTCATATGCCAATAAAAGTGTATATTACTTTAATATATAATTACCTTTACAATTTCTTTCACAACACTGTCGAAGTCTTTCTAAGTACAAAACTTTCTCACATGCTTCAACAGGTAAACACTCATCCTTCATTTAAAGTGATACTGCTTATACAAGGTGCCATTACTTACATACATTAAACTGGCCCAATAAAAAAAGTGGGTTTTGATGTGGATGCTGCAGGTTGACAATATCCTTCAGCAGATGCAGCTTGGAGAAGAAAAATCTCCATAAAATGTACATTCACTCTTAAATCATAACCAAGTGTTGGATTTTGGTGGTGGCTTATGTGCCAGAACACAGGACAAGTTTCTCTTGATATGGTCTTTGTCAGATGAGAGACCTGTTACTATCATCAACTCTCCTACAATAGCTAAGTTTTACACTCAATTTAAAAAACAAAGGGTCGCTACTTAGCAGTGTATCCCATGATAAAGTGATGGAGAAGTCACACACAGTTTTTTAACACACTGTCTGTTTCTCAGCTAGACGGGTGACCCAAAAGAACAGCAACATCCATCACAAATTTTCTAGTTGCCTTTCCAGAAGTACTGGGCATCACAATTCAAGTGACCCTCTGAGTTGCAACATCCACATTCATCCTTCAGAGTACAGACATGGTACCGGAGGTTGAAACATATATCTCCTAATATTTGCTGTTTCTGTTCACCTAGCAGTAAACATGTACATGAGTGTTAGTTGACTGTTGTGGGATCACATCCTGGGAAGGAAAACAAAAGGACCCCAGTGGAAATCAGCCACTGATTGACTTTCTTGGGTTATTCCTAATATAGATCTTCTATACATAAATGAAGATGGTAGACACATCACAATGATAAACCATGCTATTTCCACTAAAACAAACTTTTTTTCATATGGATATTGCTGTATTTAATGGCAGTAATTCCTTGAATGGTTGTCATCTTCCAACATACTATCTAGAGCACTGTAAATAGATTTATACAATATTCTTCTTTTAAACATGAAGCACAAATCCCCAAATTACCTTCATATGAGTGAGAGTGCAAACTTTGCTTTACATAAACTACAATACACTACTGAATGTGAAAATGATGGTCTATTTCATTAATATACTGAGACAAAAGCATAACAAACACCTGTCAATGACAAAAAACACACAGCCATTAAACCACATACAAAAATAATACAGTATATTTCTGAGGACTGTTGAACAGGGCCACACTATCTAGACAAAATACGCAGTACTTGTATTGTGTGTTGTTTCACTGTCTCCATGTGGGTTCATGATTAATAGATTAGTCCACTTTGCACTCTGTAGGATGGACAGGGATGTTGAAGTTGTGTGTATCATTTGAATGATGTACATCCACCTCTGGAAAAACTAACTAGAGAATGAGTGATGGTGAATGTATTTCCTTCTTTGGGTCACATTACTTTTGCTGGAAAAAGCTAATGTGAAAAAGAATCCAGACCAGTATTGTACAGAGCAAGGTAACTCTGAATAAAATGTACTTTATTATTATCATTTTATCCATGGAGAAGTGCCAAACCCATAGAGGTCATACAGTTATTTGGAATTAAAGGTGATCAGGTTTGATTTGAGGAATAAAAAGGTAGTTTCAACTTCTTGAATTAAAAGCTCTTCACTAACATCAAGGTACATCCCTTGATGAGAATGCCGTGCACAAATTATGAAAGTACAATACTGATCTAAAATTGCTATACACAATAAATTTTTAGGATTTATAGACCTAGAATTAATTGTGATCTTTTATTCAAGTAAAGCATAGGTATTCTATACAGCAGAGTATATTTCTTACTTGACTCACGAAATCGTAATGACACGATTACAAACAAACCATACCCCACCCATGGTATGGTTTATATTTCTTACCTTTGTTGTCTGTAAACACAAATGATGAACGTTGTGTGAGATCCTGAGGTGCTGCAGGAGATGATCGTGGTGGTGAAGCAGCTCGGATGTGCGCTGGACTTGCTGGCCTATATTCTCCTAATAATATAATCAATTATAAAAACTTTGTTACATTTTTATTTCGTTTTATTCATTGTACGTATATGTATCGTCTTACTACTTGTGATTTTAAAAGGCTCCCATGAACATAAAGGTAAATATACATATGACTAATGCCTAGAAACTCATTCTGACACTAGCATATGCAACCGAATCTGTATTCTTGCAATGGTTCGGTTCATAGAGGGTCTTGCCAATTCAAAATTCATGAATAGCTGCACTGCTAAATTCCATTTGTATAATAAATTTTGTATTAGATTTCAGCCAACTTTGTTCTAAAGGCATTACGTATTTAAATATTCAGTATTTGCATGGAGCAAATACTGAATGAAATTATATGATTAGTTTTGAATTTAGGGGCTGTGTGCCAAGTCAAGAATAATGTGCATCATAAATAATTGAAACTACTAGCAGGAAACCTTTCAGTAAAAGCATAGCTAACTAAAGCCTACAAATTATAGCATACATGAATTGGCAGTTCTCTATAGTCTTCCACAAGGCAACATTATACTTCACAAATATGCCGTATCAGAGTGTTAATTACTGACTACTGTATTAACCCTTAAACGGTCCAAACAGATCGACGTTCAAATTTGTAGTGCTCCAAAAGTAGATATACTTTGTTTTAGATATTTTCAAATATAACAAAAAAAAATGTAGATAAAAGTTTTTTTTACACGTTTTCAAATGTAAAACAAAAAAGAAGATCTACATTTTTTTACATACTTTCAGATGTTGAAAAAACGTATATATTCGTTTGGACCATTTAAGGGTTAAGCTCTTGTGGTAAAAATATTATATTTCAGGTTTGCAATAGCTGATCGTAAAGTACACACAAAAATCAAATATAAAAATCAAATGTCATACCTCGACGAACTTTATCAGTAAGTTGCAGCAGAAAAGCTTTGTCGCGGACTTCTAACTCCAACTGTCGCCGTAATACTTTGATCATCTCGGCTCGTCCCTCAGCTATGGACTTGGCACAGTACACAAGGATACTGTAAGGAATAAAAAAAAATTGAATTATCCAACAATAACACCTTAGGGAATTATATTCTTTTGCACGAATAATTCATACTTTTTTTGAGGAAAAAAACTACAGTACGAATCAATAAAATGTGAACATTGTTTTATGCAGTAAAAGAGAGTAAGGTTCAAACCCCTTCAAGGAACTTTCCACAAACTCGTTCTCAGGGTCAAAAATTTTTCGGAAAAAAAAAAAATGATTTTTTCTTATGAAATAATAATCTTTTCCCGATCATAATGACACCAAAAGTATGAAATTTGATGGAAAACTTACGGAATTATGCTCTCGCGAATTTAGCGGTCTCGTCAATGTTTACACATCGGCGATTTCACCCACTTTGAGCCCTATTTTCAGCCAATTCCATTGTACTAGTCAACAAAAATAATATCTCTTTTGATAGAACTCCATTTTTTCTATCGAATGAGAACAAGAAACCACCCATTTACCAATTTCAACTATCCAATAAAGTGGTCAGAAATTGGCAATTTTGCCAATTTCACACAAATTTCAGAAGATGCCGATTTCCAAATAGGGTCCAGAATAAACAAGACAGACATTCCTTGCACTAAAATAACATTTTCTCGGTTCATTAGTCACATCCCCAGGCCCCTCTTACATCTCTTTTGCTTTCCACTTCAAATTTTTATTCTCACAAAAAATAGAAGATTTACTGTCATGCAGACTACTGCATTAGTGTAGAAATGGTATAAATAATATCAGCCTTCCTCGGTGGGAGACGGCCGACTTGAAAAAAAAAAAAAAAATATCAGCGCACTTGTGAAAGAATATTAGACTCACTAGTTGATGTGTATAGGACGCTAGGCATGATTTGTTTACGTACTTTTGAACTTAGGTAAGAATCGAACATTTCTGCTACTTTGAGCTCAATTTCAAGGTACTTTTCATTATGAAACCAATCAAAATCATCTCAATTTCTATAATATGTCTTCCATTCTATAAAATGAGACCAGGAAAACTAAAATAGAACCATAAATACCATACGAAAATACACTGCAAAGCCGCTGTTTTAAATTAAAGGCACGGTCATTATGCACTGTGTGCTGCAGGATTTTTTTATACTGTGCACACTGACCACATAGACCCATTCTTTCATATGTAGGCCTACCAGCTTTCTCTCACTAGATTTGAAGGAGCGAGAATTTAGGCGTAACAGGACGTCAATAACCCTGGTGCGTAAGCCGTACTAGTACGTCGGAAACCCTGAAAGGGTTAAACTTTACAGTGAAATTTGTATATCCAGTATAACAATGACCAGCAATGTAAGTTATCTAGTACTACAGTAGTTATAGATGGCAATTTTTTCATTTATTTTTTATATCAGCTATTTCCCAGCAAGGTAGTGACCCAAAGAAGGAAACACATTCATCATGATTCCTTCATGAATTGTCCATGTAAGTTATAAATAAATGGTGAGACAATTAGCTAGTTAGCAGGTAGCTAGTTGGTAGTATGTATTTATGCAATGAGTTCTGTATAGTACATGTACATTATACAGCAACAGTATAATATCAGAGCAGTATGTTTCATTTAATTTATGAAGTATGTTCTCTTGTTACACTAGTGGGTTTACCACTTGGTTTTGATTATAATAATAATCTCTTATTCCACTGTTGTAACTCTGGAGAAACTTGAATTATCAGTAATGATGACTGGTTCTAACAGAAGGCAGTGTATTGTTGCATTTAGGATATACTGTATGTAATAAGTGCTTTGAGTTTGTAATTAATATTGTTATTGTTGTTGTTATTTGAGTTTGTAAGAAAGGAGAGCTGTAGTTCATGGTCTTGCTTCTTGACTTTCAACTAACAAAAAGAAAAGTCCTTATTACTTATGTGGCATTTCTTGTCCTGTATCATTTCCCAAGTCACTGAACTTTATTAGTCTTGGTTGAGGATGGAGCCTTACCTTTACTCTCCAAGGTAATTATTTATTTGTAACTACAGAGCAGAACTAAGCTCACAGTTTCTAATCTTCGGTATATAATTAATCTTACTTTTTTTTTTTTAATTTTCATTACAGTAGTCCTAGCACTTGCTACCTTTCCTTGTAAATAATTCCATTGTTCTAAAACTGTACATGAAGAACTGTCAGGCATCCTTTGGAATTTGTTCTTCCTTAGTTTACAGCTTTGGCCTCTCATTAACCTACTTGCAATTATAATCAATGTATTATAATGAATGTTTTCAGATACTTGGGAGTTGACGTGTCAGCGGATGGATTTATGAAGGATGAGGTTAATCATAGAATTGATGAGGGAAAAAAGGTGAGTGGTGCGTTGAGGTATATGTGGAGACAAAAAACGTTATCTATGGAGGCAAAGAAGGGAATGTATGAAAGTATAGTAGTACCAACACTCTTATATGGGTGTGAAGCTTGAGTTGTGAATGCTGCAGTGAGGAGGCGGTTGTAGACAGTGGAGATATCCTGTCTAAGGGCAATGTGTGGTGTAAATATTATGCAGAAAATTTGCAGTGTGGAAATTAGGAGAAGGTGTGGAGTTAATAAAAGTATTAGTCAGAGGGCTGAAGAGGGGTTGTTGAGGTGGTTTGGTCATTTAGAGAGAATGGATCAAAGTAGAATGACATGGAGAGCGTATAAATCTGTAGGGGAAGGAAGGCAGGGTAGGGGTCGTCCTCGAAAAGGTTGGAAGGAAGGGGTAAGGGAGGTTTTGTAGGCAAGGGGTTTGGACTTCCAGCAGGCGAGCGTGAGCGTGTTCAATAGGAGTGAATGGAGACGAATGGTATATGGGACCTGATGATCTGTTGGAGTGTGAGCAGGGTAATATTTAGTGAAGGGATTCAGGGAAACCGGTTATTTTTATATAGCCAGACTTGAGTCCTGGAAATGGGAAGTACAATGCCTGCACTCTAAAGGAGGGGTTTGGGATATTGGTAAGTTTGGAGGGATATGTTGTGTATCTTTATACGTATATGCTTCTAAACTGTTGTGTTCTGAGCACCTCTGCAAAAGCAGTGATTATGTGTGAGTGAGGTGAAACTGTTGAACGATGATGAAAGTATTTTCTTTTTGGGGATTTTCTTTCTTTTTGGGTCACCCTGCCTCGGTGGGAGACGGCCGACTTATTAAAAAAAAAAAAAGTATTCATTAACTCTCCAAAGCTTTAAAAATGAATGAACAGTTTTTCGTAATGAAACTTACAAAAGAATACCAAGAATTCCTGCTACAACTCCAGGCTTCAGGATCCAAGAGAATATATTCAGGACTTTTTTTTCATTGTTGTTAGCTGCATTCCACAAACAGTCTATATAGTGATGACAGCCTTGAAAAGGACCACATGATGAGGATGCATTTCCTCTGAAAAAAAAAAAAAAAGGTAATAAGTAAAATCTCTGCACTGGGCTGTTGGGAAAATATTGTATTTGTTAATGGTGTGAGAATCATGGCCCCTCAGACCAAGCCTCCTCAACTGAAAGGTTTCTTGACACTGGTAAGCAGCTTTTGATCCAAGGAATTGGACCTACTTTCCCCTTGTATCGAATCTGACTACCTCCCCTTCCTCCAGGAGCTATATCATCCCTACAGGTTTAGCACTCCCCTCATGACTATAATAATAACAACAATAATATTTTAATTCAAACGAAATTTACTGGCATAAGAACAATACAGTATTAAGTAACAAGTACTAAAGATAAGTCTATATTGAATGCAAGTCAAAGTTAATAAGATTTACCAGAAAAAAAAGAGTAACAATCCTGCTAGAGTGCAAAATATTTAAAAAGATTCTGCTTGCAACTTGTGTGAGAGGAAGGTTGTACCTTCCTGAGTGGAGGTTGCCATGCACCTTGTTATATTACAGAATTTGTGTCGATGCACTTTAAAGTTATATACAATAAAACTGTTTTATTTTCACAGTGTGAGCAGCGTAATAGTTAGTAAAGGATTCAGGGAAACCAGTTAGATGGGCTTTGAGTCTTGGAGGTGGGAAGTACAATGCCTGCACTTTAAAAGTGGGGGTTTGGGATACTGACCATTTGGAGTGACATCTGAACTGTCGTATTTGGGCGCCTCTGCATACCTGGAGTATACCTGGAGAGGGTTTCAGAGGTCAACACCCCCACGGCCTGATCTGAGACCAGGCCTCGTGGTGGACCGGGGTCTGATCAACTAGGCTGCTACTGCTGGCTGCACACAAACTGGCGTATGAACCACAGCCCGGATGGACAGGTACTGACTTTAGGTGCCTGTCCAGTGCCATCTTGAAGACAGCCAGGGGTATATTGGTAATCCCCCTTATGCATGCTGGGAGGCAGCTGAACAGTCCTGAGGGTGAAAGTGTTGAATAATGATGAAAGTGTTTCTTTCTTTTTTGGGTCACGCTGCCTCAGTGGAAGACGGCATACATGTTGACAAAAAAAATCTACTTTTCTTCATTAATTAAAATAAAAATAAAAATAACTATTGTTTTTAACACACTGACTGTCTCCCACCAAGGCAGGGTGACCAGAAAAAGAAACACTGTCACTATCATTCACACTATCGCTATCTTGCCAGAGGCGCATAAATATGACAGTTTAGTTGTCCCTCTAAACAGCAAATATCCCAAACCCCTCCTCTAGAGTGCAGGGGTGCGGGCATTGTACTTCCCACCTCCAGCACTCAAGTCCTGAATCCCTTCATAAAATAAATAATTATTTTTTTTTTTTTTTTTTATTATCACACTGGCTGTTTCCCACCAAGGCAGGGTGGCCCAAAAAAGAAAAACTTTCACCATCATTCACTCCATCACTGTCTTGCCAGAAGGGTGCTTTACACTACAGTTTTTAAACTGCAACATTAACTCTTTGACTGTCGAAGGGCCCAATCCTGAAGTGTCTCCTGGTGTCGCAAAATATTAAAAAAAGAAATATTATTTTTTCTTATGAAAATGTTAAGATTATTTTTCTGATTGTTTTAGTCCCCCCAAAAAAATTTTCCCATCAGTACTTACCGAGATATAGAGTCCTGAAATTTGCTGAAATTGATCTGCGAGCGACAACAGCGGCGACTGCCGCTCACCCGGTAAACTTTGATTTACCTGTATTCGATGGTTTCTTGTTTTTTTTCACTATTTTATTTTTTCACATAACTTGTGTGGCCTGTGAGACCAAATTATTGTGCAATGTTCAAATATACACTTGTTGAATGTAACACAATTATAGCAAAAACACTCGTATTATTATAATGTTGCTAAAACTTGTTTACACAAACAAACAATGTAAACAAATGTTTATTACGATTGTTTTATAATATATATACATATGTACAATCACTGGACACTTTATTAGAACTGCTGCAGCTTGTGGAATTCTTTGAAACATGGGTATAAGCACAATGGTGTCTTACACTCCTCACACAAAACAAGTGTCTCTGCATTTTTGTGGGAGTTTTGTGGTAAGTCCACAGACAAAACACCTCTTCTGAGCATTTTTCTTGGCAGTAGTAGCAGGCATTGGTATGGGGTAGTGATCACCAGGCCTCAGACGAGAGGACATGTGTTGATAATTTCGTGGGCGCTGGTCTATTGCAGGTGTTGTTTCTTGGTACTTGAATATTATTTGTCTGATGACTGACAAACAAAATTCACCATATTTGGGTTTCTTCTTGGTCTTCAACTTATACATATTATAAGCATTCAGCATGGAAATGTCAAGAAGATGGAGAAACAGTTTTATGTACCACTTATAACTCTTGTGAACACAGTCAGCAAACCCAATCTGCATGTCACATTTGTCCACTAAGCACATATTGATGTCATTGGCAGCAAACACCTGCACTTCACCTCTACGACTGCCAGCATCGAACCTAGGCATATGTTTACGATTTCTACGCACTGTGCCACACACATCTGTCATGTTCACTCGCAAGAAATCACTGAGTATAGGGCTTGTGTACCAGTTGTCAGTATATAAAATATGCCCCTTACCAAGATATGGCTCCATCATTGTTCTAACCACATCACCAGAGATACCCAGTAACTTCCTGGTATCTTCCATTGTTTTACCACCAGTGTACACAATTATATCCAAAACCAGACCAGTTTTGCAATCACACAGAACAAATAACTTTATACCAAAGCGTTTCCTCTTGCTTGGCATATACTGCTTGAATAAGAGTCTTCCTTTGAACAAAATCAAAGACTCGTCAATAACAAGCTTCCTGAAGGGATAAAAATACATACAGCACTTTTGGTTCAGGTACATAAACACACGTCTGATCTTATATAACCTGTCGCTTCTGTCAGGCTTGGTTTTGTCTGAAAAGTGTAACATACGTAACAGTAACACAAATCTATTCACTGGTATAATGTTACTGAAAGCAGGGGATGAAACCAGGCAGTCTGTCGCCCAGTATGTGTTGACACTATGCTTATACACATGTGGCATAAGCATTATTGTGGCAAAGAACAGATACATCTCTGCCACAGTTGTGTCCTTCCACTGGTGTAGGCGTGATCTTGGTGACAGAATAGTGTTTGCCATGGTGTACTCATAGTATGTATTGCTTTCCCTGACAATAATGTCCATCAGGGGTTCATCGAAGAACAACTGAAAGCATTCCAGTTCAGTGGGATTGTTCCCAAGTGTACATGATGGCCGTATTCCACTTTGTCCTCCATCAAAGTCATGGGGATTGGGAACAAACTCGTCATCTTGCTGCCAATCCCAGATGCGGTCAGCTGGTGCGTTCTGGATATTTAAATGTGGTTGTGGTTGTGCAGGTTGTGGTTGTGGTTGTGGGAGTGTGGGGTCGGGTGAGGCTGGTTGTAGTTGTGCAGAGTCAGCAGCGCGGGTAGTAGCGTGGCCCACTGCTGGTGTCACATGACTCATGCCGCCATCACTATCACCACCACCGCCTGCTGCCTCACTCACATCATTTATACCCATCGTAACAATATCGTCATCTTCACTATCAGGACGTGGTGTAGGGCCACGGGATGTGCTCCGAGATGTACTCCTTCTTCTTGGAAGAGCATATGGCACACTACCAGACCGCATGCGACGTCGTATATACTGCCGCTTCACTGGGGAATATTCACCCTCACTGTCACAACTAGAACTGCTTTCAATAACCTTGAAATCACTATCACTATCACTTGCACTGCTCACATCTGAGTCTTGTACACGGGCAAATAGTTTCCTCTTTTGTCCTGGTACAGGTGAACATGAACGAGCCGGCCCAGCACCAGAGGTGGAAGGTTGTGGGTCATCTGGGTTTTCATCACTAATTATGTTATCCTGGGTAATTTTCTCGGTCACACCCGCTTCAAAACCAGGGAATTCACTTTCACTGACACTATCATCACTGTTTGAGCTATCACTTGGGAACAAAAGACCTCCAATCCGCCGAGAAGTGAGGAACTTCTTACCGCAAGGCATGGTGAAAATGGACTACCAAGATGGCGTTCCCACAATGCACCGCTGAGTCCCAGATTTTTTTCACAGGGTGCACACCGACCACTGAGACCCATTCTCTCTCATGTAGGCCTACCAGCCCTCTCCCGCTTGATTTGAAGCCACTAGAATTTATGCGTATAGATACGTCAAACACGGTATCTCCCATGACGTATATATACGACCTCAACAGTCAAAGGGTTAACACCCCTCCTTCAGAGCGCAGGCACCGCACCTCCCATCTCCAGGACTCAAGTCCGGCCCGCCGGTTTCCCTGAACCCCTTCATAAATGTTACTTTGCTCACACTCCAACAGCACGTCAAGTATTAAAAACCATTTGTCTCCATTCACTCCTATCAAACACGCTTACGCAAGCCTGCTGGAAGTCCAAGCCCCTCGCACACAAAACCTCCTTTACCCCCTCCCTCCAACCTTTCCTAGGCCGACCCCTACCCCGCCTTCCTTCCACTACAGACTGATACACTCTTGATGTCACTCTGTTTTGCTCCATTCTCTCTACATGTCCGAACCACCTCAACAACCCTTCCTCAGCCCTCTGGACAACAGTTTTGGTAATCCCGCACCTCCTCCTAACTTCCAAACTATGAATTCTCTGCATTATATTCACACCACACATTGCCCTCAGACATGACATCTCCACTGCCTCCAGCCTTCTCCTCGCTGCAACATTCATCACCCATGCTTCACACCCATATAAGAGCGTTGGTACAACTATACTCTCATATATTCCCCTCTTTGCCTCCAAGGACAAAGTTCTTTGTCTCCACAGACTCCTAAGTGCACCACTCACTCTTTTCCCCTCATCAATTCTATGATTCACCTCATCTTTCATAGACCCATCCGCTGACACGTCCACTCCCAAATATCTGAATACATTCACCTCCTCCATACTCTCTCCCTCCAATCTGATATTGACTATGACATTTAGAACATCATAAAAGTTATGCAAGACTTGATTTAGAAATGATATTTGCCTGAAAATTATAAATCCATATCCCAAAAAAGAGAGGATAAGAGAGACCAGCGTCAAAGCAAAGAAGACTGTTTCAGTTTGTGCTGCCCGCCATGGACGTTCATCAGGCTGCAAAAACTTCAAAACACTGAACTGAAACACAAAAAATAAGTATATAAAGTTTATGTTCAACATCAGGAAAGTAGCACAATCTTTCAATCATTCTGTAGTGTATACATGCACAAAGTAAGCATTTTTCAGTAAGACTTAAGGTTAAGAAATTTAAACTGAGGATTCCAATGAATTAAACTATTTAGAAGAGCAACCCCAAAGGGTTAATAACCCAGGATAACCCAAAAAAACAAAAATTTTAATGAAGAAAGCCCATTTCTCACATTTTTTTTTTCAACACACCGGGCATCTCCCACCAAGGCACGGTGACCTCTAAAGAGAAGCTAAAGTACATTATAAAGAAAAACTAGAGTTTTTCTTTTCACATTTTAATTTATAGTTCTTACCCCCTTGCTCCTGGCACTCCATTTCTCACATATCACTACTTAAACACACTCCTTCAGCTTCTTTCTCTAAACCGGTTATTTAGAATCTTATCTAGCCATCCAAAGTTAGACTTGCCCAGAATTTTTCTTTGCAATACAACCTTCTCCTAAACAACATTTGAATTCAACTGATAAAAAAAATATTTCATTGCCATTATAGTGTCACACTTTGTAAACCTGGATTTTTCACGAAAGTGGAGATGGGGTAAAGAAAATGACTACCATGTCAAAAAATAGCACACTGGCTTCCAAATTTTAAGACTGGCTTACCATGGGTTCAAACTCTGTCCCATTTGGTGAGATATCATACAGAGTTGACACTAATATTATACTCTATGTTCTTGTAATTCTCCTCTTTGCAAACACTGCAAGATGCTCACTTTCTGCTTCATATTAATGAAAAATTGCTTCGTTTTCTTACTAGACACTGTACTATCCTGTACAAAAATCATGGTCACTAGGACAATGTTTTAGAGTTATCAAATTAATAATGAATTCGTATACAATACAGTATACAGTGGACCCCCAGTTAATGAACTTTTTTCATTCCAGAAGTATGTTCAGGTGTCAGTACTGACCGAATTTTTTCCCATAAGGAATATTGTGAAGTAGATTAGTCCATTTCAGACCCCCAAACATACACGTACAAACGCACTTACATAAATACACTTACATAATTGGTCGCATTTGGAGGTGATCGTTAAGCGGGGGTCCACTGTACTTTATCAATGGTACACATTTTAACTGAATGATACCTGAGCTAAACTTTTACATCAGAAATTATTGAAAAGTATGCAGTAATTCTGTGGTGCCTGATTCACTTACTTTTTGTATATAGAACATAATGGTGATCTTCAGGAGGACAATGACGGGTGTCAGCGGACAGAAGAAGAGCCCAGCCCACAACAACGTTTGGTTGTAAATAAGGTGGAGTGTGTTGCGACTGATATCAAACTCCAGTAGATAATGATGGATCTTTCCCTTCCTGTGTCAAAATAAATACATATGTTTTATCCACATGATTTATAACCCTCTTTCTCCATGACCAAACTAACCTGACAGTTTTTCTTTAAATCTTTACATTATACCCTTCATACTACTATATTACCTTCTAATTTCTCCATTCCTTATTTTCTGCACAAAATTCACATCCTATAGTAATCCACTACACATTTCTATTGCTGCAACCTTTAAGGATCATGTTTCACACTCATACAAGTGTTCCAGCACAGTTATACTTTCCTCAATTTACGTCCAATACAAACTTCTTTCCTTCCAAGCTTGTTTTTCCCATCATTTGTGTGATTTATCGTATCCATCACAGACCCATCTATTGATACATCTACTCCCACATACAGTGGATCCCCGCCTTACAATATTATTTCATTCCGGAAGTATGTTCAGGTGCCAGTACTGAACGAATCTGTTCCCATAAGGAATATTGTGAATTAGATTAGTCCATTTCAGACCCCCAAACATACACGTACAAATGCACTTACATAATTGGTCGCATTGGGAGCTGATCGTAAAGCGGGGGTCCACTGTATCTGAATACATTTGTTTCCTCCACACTCCTCCCTTCTATGCTTACCTCTAATCTATCATTTCTTAGTCTTTCATTTATTTCCACATTCACTTTCAATTTCCTCCTCCTTAAAATCTAGTTACTGCTTTGATAACTCATGAGAAGATTCTCAAGTTGCTACAACAAGTTAAAAAAATACTTTACGTTATTTGTTTCTGAGTTGCCACAAAGAAGATAAGAGTAGCTAACTGCATGATGACAACAACGAAGAAATCAATGATTAACAAGCGGTAAAACTCCTCTCCTAAGGACGTCTCCCAACAATAGTCAGCTTCCTGCAATTTAAAAAAGCAAATTAATTCAAAAGATAATTGTAGAATAAATAACTTTCTAAGCAATTTCTTGATACTCCTGTACAGGTGTGAAGTGGGCAAGGTAACAGGGTAAGATGTGGTGTGGTGACATCTAAACTATTGTATCTGAGCGCCTCTGCAAAGACAGTGATTATGTATAAGTGATGGTGAAAGTGTTGAATGATGATGAAATTTTGTTCATTCTTTTTGGGCTTTTCCTTCTTTTTGGGTCACCCTGCCTCGGTGGGAAACAGCCAATATGTTCACCTGCTTTGGTGGGATATAGCTGGTTTGTTGAAAAACAAAAAAAAATATAATCATAACTAAGAGCTAAACCCACAAGGGTCATACAGCATCACCAATATAGAATTAATTTACATCACTTCTAAAAGCACTGGTTCACGAGAGTTGTGCGCTTACCATTAGTACTAACTCTACACACATAAAGCTTTAACCCGTAAACGGTCCAAGCAGATCTACGTTCACATGTGTAGTCTCCAAAAGTAGATCTACGTTTTTTTTACATATTTTCAAATACAACAACAAAAAAAGTAGATCAAAGTTTTTTTACACATTTTCAAATGTAAAAAAAAAAAAAACGAAATCTCCTTTTTTACATCACTTTCAAATGTTGAAAAAACGTATATATATACGTTTGGACCGTTTACGGGTTAAGCTTCTAATACAAGTTACAAAATGACCAAACTGACCTGCAGACTTTCAGACAATATTTTGAAGTCACCAATGCCTTTATTAGTATTACTGTCATCAGTGTGAGTCGTGGAGTTGGGGTCTACTGCGTGCATGTACCAGAACCCCACCAATACTCCCAGAACTGTCAATTCTAGTAGTATAGTTCTGCCAAGGAAAATGCAAAAAAAAAAAAAATACATAAAAATTAGGTAATACATCAATTGTGTAAATATAAAAATCAGGTAATATAATACATCAACTCTAGCTTTATGGTGAATTTTTTTAGAGGTTTTAAAAAATCATATTAATTTTTTATGGAATACTGGAAATAGTTCTTGTAATTGTTGGTAACTCATGCATGAAGTAGAGGCACAAGGCAAGAGGAAAATAACAATGAAAGAATTTGAAACTACTTTGGTACACATATACAGTGGACCCCCGGTTAACGATATTTTTTCACTCCAGAAGTATGTTCAGGTGCCAGTACTGACCGAATTTGTTCCCATAAGAAATATTGTGAAGTAGATTAGTCCATTTCAGACCCCCAAACATACACGTACAAACGCACTTACATAAATACACTTACATAATTGGTCGCATTCGGAGGTAATCGTTATGCGGGGGTCCACTGTATACTAGAGAAAGTATAACAAATGGAAAAGTTAGAGAATGGCATAAGAGCAAAAATAAAAATAATAATAATTGGAAAACAAAACAAAAATAAAAAACACAGAGGTGGAGTAGATAGTGCAGAACTTCAATCAGTAGTATAAGACACCCATTAATAGAATAAAATAAGTGTATATTATACTATGTCTCAGAGCAGGAACCACATTCAGTGTGTGACTAAACACCTTAAATGTGGCAATATAATTATTACTGATAACATATACAAAGCTAAGAGGGCTGGAAAAATTTTGATGGGGAGGAGTAAATGGGATTAGGTCATATCTGAGAGAATCAGAGTTAAGGGAGGAGTTGTGGTAATACTGAATGATTATTTTTTGGGAAAAGTAAGTGAGTATAAGTGTATAGCAATGGGTTTTCTGCATGCACACTTAAATGTCACCCTTCTCTGTACAAACATTGTATCATGCTGAAACAAAAATTATTATTAAGAATTGTGAAAGCATAAAAGTGGGATGTGAGAAGTAGGTTACAGCTTGTATGCATCTGAGGGCAAGAGATGTATAGAAGAGATTTTGGGAGGTATTAAGTGAATGTTTAGGGAATTTTGAGCCAGGTGAGAGAATTACTGTTGTTGGGGATGTCAGTGGTAATGTGGGTTAGACATCTATGGTAACTCAGCTCAGTTCTTTATAAAGACATCCCCTCCTTCTCCCCTAATAACTTTATTTCCAATTTTTTTCCCCAGCTGCAACTTATTTCATGTTTCTCACATTACTCTACCTTATGAGAGTGACATATAGCCTGTGACGAGGAATCCTGTAGCCTTCCACCTTGACTATGATGCCAAATACCCAGGGTACAATGATGATAATACAAGTGACGATCAGAGGATAAACTAGGGGCCCAAATCCACTACTATCCTGAAAGACAACACTAGCATCATTCTTCTCATAAAATTTTGCTGAATAACTTCCATTAAGTGCTGGCAGACAGGCATCCTCATTCCCAACCTCGGAAATTATTTTAGCATACATACATACATACAGAGGTACAATAAAAATACAGGTAAGAGCAGCATGCCAAAGCCACTTATATGCATAGCATTACGGGCTGGCTTAAAATTAACTTAAGATTAACTAAGCAATGATGAAATCAGTGATAAGACATTATTGTAAACAGATAACTATAAAGCACAAATGAGTATTACAAAGACAGGTCATATGGTTGCATGCATTGCTGTACATTCAGTAGAATGAAGTATTCTGCTAGGTAGTGTATTTAAAAAAATAACAAAGTTAGATTGGGTCCTAGGTTTAACATTTATGTGATATAATTGTGAGTAACATTTTGGATATACAATTTATAAGGTTCAGTTATTCAGTATTTATTTGGTTTTGAATGAGTAAGTGAACTTTGAGAAGAGACTTGAATTTATAAACAGGTAGTGTTTCTTTTATATTTACAGGTAATGAATTCCAGATTTTAGGGCCTTTTATGTGCATTGAGTTTTTGCATAGCGTGAGATGGACACGAGGAACATCAAAGAGTGATCTGTGCCTTGTGTTATGGTCATGTGTTCTGTTGAGGTTGGCAAGGAGATGTTTGAGGGGAGGGTTAATATCAGAGTTAAGTGTTCTATGTATGTAATAGGTGCAATAATAAGTATGGATGTTTTGTATGGTGAGTAGGTTGAGTGTTTTGAATATTGGTGAAGTGTGTTGCCTGTAGTGAGAATTTGTTATCATTCTAACTGCAGCCTTTTGTTGGGTAATTAGTGGTCTGAGATGGTTAATTGTTGTTGAGCCCCATGCACACTGGCTGTCTCCTTCCAAGGTATTATTATTATTAACATGAATACATTATCACAATTATTATATAATTATTATCATTTGTTTTCCTATTTTTTCATTACAGTATAGTACAGTATTATTATATGAATGTTATTATTACAGATTATTATTTATTATTGCACTACTGCAAAGACAGCTATTGAATATCTGATGCTTCATGTGTTTCCTCCTTTGGACTCTGTTTTGGTAAGGATTTTTTTTTTATTCCACCAGCCATCTCCCACTGAGGTAAAGTGACCCTTCCCTTCCCCCCCTCAAAAGAAAAAAAAGAGGAAACACATTCACCATCATTCATTCAACTGATTGTGCCACAAGAGCACTGAATGTGTTGTTGAATGTAAATATTTAAAAAAATTATAATTTACTTACGGTCTTAGTAATAATATCTTTGTCAATGCCACTTTTGAGCATGGCATACATGGCCCAGCCCAGGAGGCCCAGGGACACCAGGACAATTGCCCAAAATAGCAGTTTAATGCACCAGCCTGCCAGCTGCCTCAACCATCCTTCTTCCTGCTCTTCACTTAGGAACTCTTGCAACAGCTCCTTCAATACATGCCAATGATTTATAATTAACTCACAAGAGGTTGTTTCATTTAATATACTAGTAAGAGGTAAATAGATAAGACTATGCAAATGTGTTGTACACTGATACTGTGCTTTGTTCATAACTGAAAGTACCTGGGTTGAACCTTGGGCAAGGTAAGACAAATGGGTAAGTCTCCTAATGCCTGCTGCTACCTATTACCTAACAGTAAATAAATACCTAGGAGTTAAGCGTCTATTCTGAGTCACATTGTGGGGAAATAAGCCACACTGCTTGGCTTTCTTAGGTTCTCCTGAGTTATTAACCCTTCAGGGAGTATAATTCAAATAGTAGACCTTTTCCTCTGTCCACTACTCTCACTGCCTGGCTCCATGTATTATCACTGTTATCCCTTATTCCCAGCTCAAGGCATGGCGAGAAATACTGTGAACTGCATTTTCATAAATATTCAAGCCCATAATGTAATGACATGTTGTCTGCTGTAATTTCTGCCTGGGAAGTCTGGCAAGGTGAGTGGATGAAGGCTTCTTACCACACAGATATGTGCATATTATGTTACATTTGTTTTAATAACACACTGGCTGTTTCCCACCGAGGTAGATGACCCCATGTTACATTTCTACCTTTGTATTTCAGCTATTTTATTTCTATTTAAATAGAAAACAAAAATTTGTGTTCATCAAAGCACCTAACACTATTTTTTCTGCAAGTTGTTCCTATAAGTATTGTTTATTTCAAAGCTTGGCCCTACCTAAAATACACTTACCATCCTGCAGGATGCCACCTACAATACCTACCAGTAGATACCTATTTGTTGCTAGACAAAACAAGAGCAGCAGGTATATAAGACAACTTGCTCAATATCTCGTCCTACTTTGGGCATCATACCCAAATCAAAATGAAGAACAGTCTGGAAGAACTTAAGTTTCATCAAGAAGACAGTTATGGCTCTCAATATGAAACTATGAATGAAGACAAAATCGTAAAGGAAAAATTTATATACCAAAAGACTTCATGAGTTTCTAATACTGTACAAAAAAATGTCTTGATATACACCAGTCACAAGCCTTGGGTTAAATGATCATCATCATGGGGAAGAGTTAAATCCTCATTATCATACCCAGTATCATAGGTTAAGATCCCTTCATCAGTACAACGGCACCTTTTCCCCTGAAGTGTTCTAGGACTACACCAGCCCCTTTAACTCTTACCGTGAGCTTGCTACCTTGATTATCTTGAGCTCATTCCCTTGTATCTTACCTTCAGCTCATTATAAATACTCCTGTGCTTGATAGTGGCTGCTTTCTTTTCCGTGATACTAAAGTCCCACGAAGAAAACACTTTCTTCACAAAAGAGGCCGACATGTCATGTTCCACATCAATGTAATTATTCTTGTACAGGACAATCACCCTAGGAAAAGAGTACTTAGTCACTACTAATTAATCTACTAAATGATCCATTATATATAAAAGATAATAAATGCTATACATAGTGAAAAACTTATATTTTTTCAATAAAAAATTGCATTAAACATTAACCCGTAAACGGTCCAAACGTATATATACGTTTTTTCAACATTTGAAAGTATGTAAAAAAAGTAGATCTTCTTTTTGTTTTTTTACATTTGAAAATGTGTAAAAAACTTCGATCTACTTTTTTTTTGTTATATTTGAAAATATGTAAAAAAAACGTAGATCTACTTTTGTAGCACTACACATGTGAACGTAGATCTGCTTGGACCGTTTACGGGTTAAACAGAATGACTGACTAAAGAAAGTGTAATGAACACTTGTCAGTACTCAATATAAACCCACATGAAGATAGAAACTCAAAAAATTATTTTTTGTGAAAAAGACACCAGAAGGGGGTCAATATATGCAGATCAATTAATTTTCAGGGTGACCTGAAAAAGAAACACTTTCACCATCATTCGCACTATCACTGTCTTGCCAGAGGCATGCAAATATGACAGTTCAAATGTCACTCCAAAGAAGCAAATATCTAAAACCCTCCTTTAGAGTACTGGCATTATACTTCCCACCTCCAGGACTCAAGTCCAGCTAACCGGTTTCCCTGAATCCCTTCAAAAATATTTCCTTGCTCATACTCCTATTATTATTATTATTTTTTTTTTCAACAAGTCGGCCGTCTCCCACTGAGGCAGGGTGACCCAAAAAAAAGAAACAAAATCCCCCCCAAAAAATACTTTCATCATCATTCTACACTTTCACCTCACTCGAACATAATCACTGTTTTTGTATTATTATTACTATTATTATTATTATTATTACTATCATTATATTATTATTATTATATGACCTATAAGAGTTATACAGCAGCTGTGGAACAAGGTAGTTAAAAGCTGTTTGATCACAGTGAGGGTCTAGGTTCGATTCCCGGTGAGGGTAGAAACACTGGGTATGTTTCCCTAAACTGGTTGTCTGTGTAATAATGGGTACCTGGGTGTTAGTCGACTGGTGTGGGTCGCATCCTGGGACAAAACTGACCTAATTTACCCAAAATGCTCTGCATAACAAGCGGCTTTCTATATAGTAGTGTGTCACTGATGTCAGCTAGGCCTTGCACATGTACATGTAGAAATAAAGAAAATACAGTGGACCCCACCTTACGACATTAATCTGTTCCTGAGAGCTCATCGTAAGCTGAAATTATCATTAGCTGAATTAATTTTCCCCATGAGAAATAATGGAAATCAAATTAATCCATTCCTGACACCCCAAAGTATGAAAAAAAAAAATTTTACCACATGAAATATTAATTTTAATACACACAAACTGAAGAAGACATGCACAATTACTACTCTACTAAGAATAGAATCTATGACACTTACCTTTATTGAAGATCTGGTGATGATTGATGGGAGGGTAGAGTGTGGAAGTTATTGTTTAGAAGGGGAATCCCCTTCCATTAGGACTTGAGGTAGCAAGTCCTTTTCCGGGGATACTTCCCTTCTTCTTTTAATGCTACTAAGACCAGCTTGAGAGTCACTGGACCTCTGTCGCACAACAAATCTGTCCATAGAGCTCTGTACCTCCCGTTCCTTAAAGACTTTCCTAAAATGGGCCATAACATTGTCATTGTACAGGTTGCCAACACGAATTGCAGAAGCTGTGTCAGGGTGATTTTCATCTGTAAAGGTTTGCAGTTCAACCCACTTTGCACACATTTCCTTAATCTCTTTTTTCAATTCCATACTAATTCTTGCCCTTTTTACCACAGGAATGGCACTAGACGCTTTCTTGGGGTCCATGGTGACTTATTTTGCAGTTACAAGCACTAAAAACACTGGGATAATGTGAAATGTACCGAATGTAGGCGTAGATGCAACCGTACTGGCTAGCTTGTAAACACTGGCGCTGAGGCCACACATGGGACGCGTTCCGGATGAATCACATAAGGTGAGTTTTTTATTGTGAGGCGAGGCAAAATTTTTGCGTTCAAATGCTTCGTATGGCGGATTTAACGTAACACGATGCGTTCACGAGGCGGGGGTCCACTGTACATTATATTATTATTATTTGTGTGATGGCAATCCCTTTGAAAGGTACAATAACAAGAACAAAGACCAATAAAATGAAATTTCATTCAGTTTCTGAATGTGATAATTTGGTGAGAGCTAAAAAAATATTTTTCAATATCTCACATATTAAAAAAAATCATATGAAATGTCCATAAAAATCTATTTTATTACTGCATATTTCGAAGTAATTATAAAGCACTAACCTATGAAGAATGACAATCAGGTAGATCACATAGGCTAGGAAAATAACAAAGAAGTAAGCTCTGGAAATATTATAATGCACATCCTTCATGAGGGAAAAGCTGTCCGAGCGGTATGTCCCGTAGTACAATTCTGTCGATTCAAACCAGCCCTGAAACAAATAATAATGATTTATGTTAGGTAAAAGGACATGTGTGTGCACTTGATGTGACATTTTATTGCGACAACATTTCGCTCTCCAGTCAATTAGAATAAAAAGTCACAATATCATGGCTGGAACATTTCACAAATAATCTGTACTTAGGAGAGGCAACTTCTGACAACGTTTTGGTTCTTAGTGAACCACAATCATTTCACAACTAACAATGTGACAACTGTGCCTTCATAATGGTCCAGAACAGACTTAAGAGTCATTATAAATTTCCTCTCCCTCAATGATCATTTAGACGATCTGTTACTGGATAAAAGGTGTCTTGCAACTCAGTTGTAAAGATTTCAGTTCACAATTAAAAAGATCTGGGTTTGACTCCTGGGGTAAACTGAGATACGTGGGCATGTCTGAAACAGTCCGATGCCTTAAAACAAAACTCTGAACAATTTATAATGTTTTCATATTAGTAGATTATAATTAACCATTTGCAGAGTGTTAACCCTTTGACTGTCGCGGCCGTATATATACGTCTTACAAGGTACCATGTTTGACGTATATATACTCATAAATTCTAGCGGCTTCAAATCAAGCAGGAGAAAGCTGGTAGGCCCACATGTGAGAGAATGGGTCTGTGTGGTCAGTGTGCACCATATAAAAAAAATCCTGGAGCACGTAGTGCATAATGAGAAAAAAAAAACTCCGACCGTTTTTTTTAATTAAAATGCCGACTTTGTGGTCTATTTTCGTATAGTATTTATGGTTGTATTCTCGTTTTCTTGGTCTCATTTGATAGAATGGAAAATATATTATAGAAATAGAGGTGATTTTGATTGATTTTGCTATAAAAAGAACCTAGAAATGGAGCTCAAAGTAGGGGAAATGTTTGATTTTTCCCAATGTTCAAAAGTAAACAAATGATGCCATTGTCCAATAAATGTCCAACTAGCCATTCTAATATGCAGTCATAAATGGGTTGATGTTATTTATACAATTATTACAGTATTGCAGTAGTCTGCATAACAGTAAATCTTGTATTTTTTGTTTGAATAAAAATTCAAAATAGAAAGCAAGAGTAATATCAGAGGGGCCTCAAGACATGACTGATGAACAAAGAAAATGGTATTTTAGAGCCAGGAATGTCTGCATTGTTCATTCTGTACCTTATTTTGAAATTGTCATATTTTTTAGTTTTCGTGAAATTGGCCAAATTGCAAATTTCTGACCACATTATTAGTTAGTTGAAATCGGTAAATGGGCAGTTTTTTGTACTCAATCGATAGAAAAAATGGAGTTCTAAAGAAATGGCTATGAGTTTGGGCGACTGGAACAATGGAATTAGCCGAAAATAGGGCTCAAAGTGGGCGAAATCACCGATTTGTAAACAGCGCCGAGGTTGCTAACTTCGCGAGAGCATAATTCCATCAGTTTTCCATCAAATTTCGTTTTTTTGGTGTCATTACAATCGGGAAAAGATTCTCTATCATTTCATAAGAAAAAATAACTTTTTTTTTTTAAATTTTGCGACACCAGGAGACACCTCAGGATTGGGGGTTGCGACAGTCAAAGGGTTAATTACCAAGAGATGAAGAAAATAATTATTATTATTATATTCACAGGGAAGTGCCAAACCTGAAGGGTTTGGGAATGGTAAGTTATCAAGCTCAATCCTAAGAAGAGAGATGTGTCTCCAATTCCTTAACCCTTAAACTGTCCAAACGTAGATCTACATTTGCACGCGTAGCGCTCCGACCTTGATTTTCTCCATAAGAAATAATGTAAAAAAAAAGGTTGATCTACATTCGGAGCACTACGCGAGCAAACGTAGATCTACGTTTGGACAGTTTAAGGGTTAAATCAAGAGCCCTGAACCAGCACTAAGGCACCCACCCGCTAGGAATTTTTATTGACCTAAGAAAAGCTTTTGACACAGTAGACCATGGCATCCTACTCCACAAACTTGACCATTATGGTATAAGAGGCCATGCGCTTGCATATTTCAAATCCTACCTTACTAATAGGTATCAGTATGTCACCATTAAAGACACAGCATCATCAACACGACCACCTGATACTGGAGTTCCACAGGGAAGTGTCCTTGGACCCCTGCTCTTCCTCATTTACATCAATGATCTTCAAACATATCCCAACACCTGAAACCCATTCTCTTTGCTGACGACACGACTTATGTCATCTCTCACCCTAATCTTGCCACCCTCAACACCATTGTTAACGAGGAGCTGCTCAAAATATTGACTTGGATGACAGCCAATAAACTTACACTTAACACTGACAAAACCTACTATATTATGTTTGGTAGCAGAGCAGGTGTTGCGCAACTTAACATTAAGATCAACAACACTCTAATTGCCAGACATAATAAGGGCAAATTCCTAGGCCTATACCTCGACAACAACCTGAATTTCAGCACCCATATCCAACACATAACAAACAAAGTATCCAAAACAGTTGGGATCCTCTCCAAGATGCGATACTACGTGCCGCAAATTGCCCTTCTCACACTATACCTTTCACTCATTTATTCATACTTCACCTCTTCTCACACTATACCATTCACTCATTTATTCATACTTCACCTATGTTATTTGTTCTTGGGGATCAAATGCAGCAACACACCTAAAGCCAATAATAACCCAACAAAAAGCTGCAGTAAGAATAATCACTAAATCCCATCCCTGGCAACACACCCCCCCACTCTTCATAGATCTAAACTTACTCCCTGTTCAGAACATCCACACTTACTACTGTGCAATCTACATCTACAGGATTCCAATATTAACCTTGACCTAAAATGCTTTCTTGATAGTTGTGACAGGACCCATAGGCATAACACCAGACACAAACATCTCTACAACATTCCCCGTGTCCGACTAAACCTCTACAAAAATTCAATGTATGTCAAAGGCCCTAAAATCTGGAACACCCTACCTGAAAACTCTAGAAATGCAGACACATTCATCTCCTTCAAAACTACCATTAGAAAACATCTTATCTTCCTGATACACCCAGTCAACTAACTACATAAGCACCACCTGGTGGTTCACACTTACACTCACTCACTCACCCATTTGACTATAAGCACAGAAATACGAATCTTAATCTTAAAATAATGAATCCTAACTAGTCATAAGTTTGCCTTTGATACTCCAATATAGAAACTATGTATTGTGCCAGAACAAAAGCATTCACATTGCTAAACTCACAAACTAGTATTTAGTCACTTGGTATTTAGTCAACTTACTCCATAATTTGTAATAATTTAGGGTTAAGAATTAATCTAAGTTTGCCCAAAATGCTTAGCCATGCTAGGAGTCCTAGTGGCCCTCTCTGTAATTAGTATTTTATTACATGTAAACCACACAATATGACTCCACACAATAACCAAAATCTGTAAACCCCACATTGTAATCCTTATAGAGAATAAACTTGATTGATTGATTGATTAAGAGTTTGGTCCTTAAATAATTTTCTTACTGAAGATATATGGAAAAAGGTGAAAATAAATAATAATATTAGAATATGGCATACCCGTGTCAAGGACAGGAAGCGCACGTCTTACCGAGTTCCCTCTAGTATGGGTGAGTGTGCGTCCCCACTGTCAGATCCAGTTATAGATCACCCCGATACATTGTTCATTTATGATGATAATGAATATAAAGCATCACAACTGTAGCTGGATAATATTCTGTAGGGAATCTCATATATGAAACATCCTCATACATAAAACATCCTACAAATTCAAAGGAAAATGTAAATGATAATAACCAAATTTTTGAAACAAAAATACTGATACAATTAAAATAAGAAAAGGCAGACTGTATGAAAAATGAATTGATAACAGAAGGTCTAAAAGTCGAAATGTAAACAAGAGGAAGAAAGACTCAGAAAACATGCACACTGAAGACTGCTTCTGTACAGAGTACTCCAAGGGAAGACAGAAGAGTATACAAGACTCAACAATAAATCAACTTAGTGTGCACAATGAATAAATACTTGTCATTCCAATTCTTTAAGGTAGGTTTAAAGCCTATGAACTGCATGAGGGTCATTAAAGTTGCATATCACCTGTACACCATCAGCTAGGAATATTTTAACCACTAACACAGGGATTAAAATAAACTCATGTACTGATTTTCACTCAAGAGTAATTAATGTATATATCCTGAGTGATACACCCCTCTAAGTATATTTACAAAGAAATGTACACCTCTCAGTGAATGTATATAAAGATGTACACCTCTCAGTGTATACAGAAAGAGATGTACACCTCTTGGTGTATACACCTTATGTGCCACTACACATTCCAATGTGTGGTTGCAGGGGTTGAGTCACAGCTTGTGACCTCGAGAGTGTGAGCATGGCTGTGAGCCAACCAGTGGTGGAAAGATACAACACAAAGTCTCCTTTACCCATACACTGTCTTTTACTTACCCCAACACAGGAGTCCTCTGCCTCATTCACTAAAATTGGCAAATGTTTAACTCGTAAATGGTCCAAACGTATATATACGTTTTTTTCAACATTTGAATGTAAAAAAAGTAGATCTTCTTTTTGTTTTTTTACATTTGGAAATGTGTAAAAAAACTTTGATTAACTTTTTTTTTTTGTTATATTTGAAAATGTGTAAAAAAAAAAACGTAGATCTACTTTTGTAGCACTATACATGTGAACGTAGATCTGCTTGGACCGTTTACGGGTTAAATGCTTAATTTCAGTGTAACTTTGTTACAATTAATTATCTTTTGATTGACTGAAATTTTTTTAATACGTTGGCAGTTTCCCACTGAGGCAGGATGACCCAAAAAAGAAAGAAAAACTCAAAAAGAAAGCAAAAACTTTCACCATCGCTCAACACCCACCATCACATTACATTTATTATATCACCATTACATTTATATAATTATAATTTACATAATTATATAAGTCTTTATACAAATAAATCACTCCATGCACAAAGGAGGGAAATAAAGTAAAAACGTATTGCAAAATTAACTACGATATATCTGGAGTTAATAAAACCATGCTATGTTATAAAAGCACATTAATAAAACCATGCTATGTTATAAAAGCACATTAATAAAACCATGCTATGTTATAAAAGCATATTAATAAAACCATGCTATGTTATAAAAGCATATTAATAAAACCATGCTATGTTATAAAAGCATATTAATAAAACCATGCTATGTTACAGAAACACACTGTACTAATAAAACCAAGCTAAGTTATAGATCTATACTAATGAAAACCACATAAAATTATTTTGTAAAATCTTCACTGGAAAAACAATTACCAATAGCAAAAGACCTATCTCATACTTTTAATCTGGATTCCGGCAAACAAAATTTTATCCACCGTATTTCGCGGCTTATAAGACTTGTTTAAGTTTCAGTGGCTCGGCACTGGATGTAACTGTGGGAGCTACAGCCCACCCCACACCCCAAACTTATAACTCCCATCACTGACCTTCAGTTTATAGGACACAGGGCAGTTTTTGGAGGCATTTTATGGAAAAATGCATCTCATAAACTGCAAAATATGGTAATTAACCCGTAAATGGTCCAAACGTATATACTATACGTTTTTTCAACATTTGAAAGTATGTAAAAAAATAGTTCTTCTTTTTGTTTTTCTACATTTGAAAATGTGTAAAAAACTTTGATCTACTTTTTTTTGTTATTATATTTGAAAATATGTAAAAAAAATTAGATCTACTTTTGTAGCACTACACCTGTGAACGTAGATCTGCTTGGACCGTTTACGGGTTAAAAAAATAATATATTAATACAGCGGACCCCTGCTTAACGATCAGCTCCCAATGCGACCAATTATGTAAGTGTATTTATGTAAGTGCGTTTGTACGTGTATGTTTGGGGTTCTGAAATGGACTAATCTAATTCACAATATTCCTTATGGGAACAAATTCGGTCAGTACTGGCCTGAACATACTTCTGGAATGAAATAATATCATTAACCGGGGGTCCACTGTATTTGTGTTAAAAAATTAAGATTCTAACTCATTATTTTTTCCATGCCACTGAGATGTTATCCTATCTCAGCTCATTTCAAAGCCCATCCTTATTTAAAGTATTTAATGCAAGTAGAACATTAGAAATAAGTAATATTAATATGTAATTTTACCACTATGAGAGAAATAAAATTTCATGCACTTGATTATGGTCTCTCAATCATGTTCTCAAGTTGCAGATCCTTGACAGTGTTGGTACGCGATCATGAAAGCATTTTGATTTTAACTCCCATTCAGCCGGGCTGTGGCTCATACGTTGGTTTGCGTGCAGCCAGCAGTAACAGCCTGGTTGATCAGGCTCTGATCCACCAGGAGGCCTGGTCACAGACCGGGCCGCGGGGGCGTTGACCCCCGGAACTCTCTCCAGGTAAACTCCAGGTAAACACAGTAGTCACGGTATGTAACAATTTGTGGCATTATATAGTGTGGTAGATTCTCACATAACGTGTGCGTTACATTCCCTTCCCCTCCCTCCCTTTCCAAGGTGCCTTTGGTGTACTTTTGATATACCTTTGACATACCTTTGATATACCTTTGATATTCCTTATACAGTCCTTTGATATACATACATTTGATATGCATTTGAGATACATTTGATGTTTTGAGAGTTTCCCTGCTGCCACAGCTTGACCCTAGGCCAGGGACCCACTATCAACTAACACTTAGTCTGATGATTATTAATATTAGGTATTACAAAGGTGACAGAAGTGTAGACACATTTTGGGGTTTGTACAGCACATGGGTGGGATGGGGAATGGAAGGCAGTCAGGCTCAATCCAAGGAAAGAAAGTTCAGGCCTAATTCTTTGGATCAAGAACCCCTCTCACCAGCATCAAGGAACCTCCTAATAATCAAAGGCAGCAGATATAAGGGGACTTGCCCATAGATCTCATTTTGCCTAGGAATCAAACCAGGTCCCTTCGGTTGGGAGTCGTATGTGTTACCACTGAGGTACACTTCACCTCTTCTACAGTATCATCATCACCATTATTATTATTATTGTTATTCACAAGGAAGCACTAAACCAGCAGGAGTGACACAGCACCTGGGAAATAAACAATCAGGTTTTATCCGAGGAAGAGAAGGGTAGCTCTAATTCCTTGGATCAAGATCCCTTTACCAACATCAAGGCACCCATCCCCCTTGAAGGGCTCTAAAGCACCAAGTGTTGTCTCTAGGGAAAATTAATTAGCCAAAATGCAGGTGAATTTTTCAATGACTAGATATCAAAAATTTTATTTGTAATTTTTATCATTAAATTTGTGATGAGGTGCAAGAATTTTCCTAATTTTATTTTCGGTGCAAGTGGTTACGGCTAGCTACAACTGGTGCATAAATCAAGTGGTCTCTTACCATTGACTACTGTCCTGCTTCCTTGGCTGAATGCAAGAGGTAAAATATTCCGTAAGACTTTCACATCATTATTCACATAACAAATACATATCAACACACTGGCTGTCTCTCACCAAAGTAGGGTGACCCCTCATCCTCTCAAAAAAATATTCACTGTCATTCATTCAATAGTAATTCATACACAAAAACATTTAAATATATAATACAAAGACCCACAAGGAGCCAGAAGCAAATATAAGGCGAACTGGGAGTTGTATATAACGATATACAACTGAGGTCCTGAGTTGAAGGCAGAAATACATAGCTCCTACCTCACTTTGTTTCCTTCTAGCTACATGTATATAAACATAAAATAATTATTGCCACTGTAGTCTTAAGTTAGGCTTAAGCTTGCCCAAAATGCTCTGCATAACCATGGGCTTTCTGTAAGCACAATCAAATGCCATACATCTCTGTACAAACACTGTATCATGTGGAAATAAATCTGACTCTGACTTTGACATGTGGGTTTTTGTGTTATACCATCTGTACCAAACACATACAAACCCCACATATTCACAAAATTACCTAATAAAAAAAGAGCAATGCAACTGATTAAAAAAAATACGAGTAAACTAAAATTAGGCATAAAAAATACTTAATTACTTAAACTACAATTCATTAATTAAATTCACCAGACAAATATTGTACAAGACTACAGCACAAGCATAAAATAAACTATGTATACATGAAATCAATACACTTTATACACAAACATAAGAACAAATGGGAATTCACCTAAAATAAATCATAAACCAATATTTTCTTGCCTACTCTGTACCAGACACGCATGCATAAAATTAACATACATGCAAAATCAATGGATTTGATGCAAAAAATAAGGAGAAAATATTTACGAAAGACAACTTGCTGCAGCCCGCAGAGATACCACTGTTATGTGGCATGGATTGCTAGGATGAGTGGAGGATTGGTGGTATTGATTGCTAGGATGAGTGGAGGATTGGTGGTACTGATTGCTAGGATGAGTGGAGGATTGGTGGTATTGATTGCTAGGATGAGTGGAGGATTGGTGGTATTGATTGCTAGGATGAGTGGAGGATTGGTGGTATTGATTGCTAGGATGAGTGGAGGATTGGTGGTACTGATTGCTAGGATGAGTGGAGGATTGGTGGCATTGATTGCTAGGATGAGTGTACAACTGGTGGCAATGATTGCTAGGATAAGTGTATGACTGGTGGCACCAACTGCTAGGATGAGTGTACGACTGGTGGTACCAACTGCTAGGATAAGTGATGAATGTTATCAGATACTCATGTGAGCTGCTTCTCCCTCTTAATACACTAGACTTATTAATGTTGCTACTAGACATGTTATCTAAATAAAAATTTATGCATTAATTTGATTGGAAAACAATAAGATACGGCACATATTGTGACAACACCTCAAATTTTAAACACAGGCATAGCAGTTCACTTTCTTTAACCACAGTTAACCACATTACTGATGCTTGGTTATAAGAGTATTACTGTTTGGTCCCTAGTATTCCACACACAAGTAAAAAATTTATACACTTTAAATGAAGCAACTAACGCAAAAATATCTACTGTGATTTTGTGCAAGGGAACAACGTGCACACGAAGGAGCTTTGTCAAGAGTCACATTTGGGATGACTCAGAACAGTGTCTGAGCAACATAAAGAGGAGAAACCAAAGAGGGTGTCCAGAGTTGCAGGTTGACAAAGAAAGAGTTAAAAAATGAAGTGCTGGGACACTGCAATCATCAAATGTGAAAATAAGTTAAGCAACAGACTGCTAATCTTCATACACAATGAACAAGAGTCATCATGTACAGTACATTGCTGACACTAAGTTGATGCAACATTGAAAGTGGAATAAATATTTTGCACTGGTAAAGCACTGAAAAAAATAGCAAAGCTCATATAGTATTAATCTCTTATGTAGAAGATAAAAGGAAATCCTACTAATGTATTTAGAAGTACTGTAAGTACAGTACTAGCAAAATATTCAGGCTGCTGTGTAAGATCATGTGGCTTAAAACTAGCACATTTAAGACAATACATTTCAATACTACATTACTTGAATACAAAAACAAAATTACTACTAATAAGAAATGCTGGACTTTTAAAATGGAAAATAAAGTTTATGGAATTACTGCAAATAACAAAAATTCTACTTACAGCACCAGTTAGCCAATCTAAAGGACCAAACACTTTGGTGGTGTCATCGTTCTCGATGGACGGAATCACTTTCTTTGTGGTGGTGCTCAGACTGGTGGGTCTCCGTGTTCCAGCAACGCTTGTAGTGGCAGGAGAATTACTTACAACTCTAACTGTACCAGGTTTTCCTGCCACCAAGAAGAAAGAGCTAAATAAATATATACTGTATTATTATTATTATAATCAAGGGGGAAGCGCTAAACCCGGAGGATTATACAGCGCCTGAGGGGGGGGATGTGGAAGGCATTCAGGCGTAATTCAGGGAACTGGAGCACAGATCCAATTCCCTAAATCAAGAGCCCCTCACCAACATCAAGGAACCTTCCTTGAGGGGGGGGAATATATACTGTAGAAACCCTCATTTACAGTGACAAAAAAAAAATTTACATGGATTAGATGTAAATTTGTACAGTAAACCATTGATGTACCAGTCCTAAAATTTAATGGACTACATGTATATTCAATAAATTTACTGTGTTAATGGTCTTGGACCAGGCCGTGGGGGCACTGACCCCTGAAACCTTCTCCAGGTACTAATTCAATGCCTGCATTACACATACAAGAGTAGTTATCTGAAAAATAAAATAATGGAATAAAATACAATATTAAATACTGTGGTACCCCGAGTTACAAACTTTATTCATTCCAGAAAGCTGTCTGAGTGCCAATACCAAACAAATTTGTTCCCATAAGGAATAATGTAAATTAGATTAGTCCATTTCAGACCCCCAAAAATACACCTACGAAAGCACTTACAAAAATACACTTACATAATTGTTCAAGTTGGGAGCTGTTCAAAACTCGAGGTACCACTGTACTATGATACAAAATGATTATTCCATATACAGTATGGTAGAGTATAACAGAATTTATGAGAATAGGTCATCAACACTGAGCTTCTGATTCCAAGAAATATTACCAGAAACATTCTTAAATGAGAAACCCAGAGGAGTTGCACCAGTTGTGACTGGCACATCAGTGGTGGTGTGAGGCATGGAGGTGTCATCATGCAGTCGAGCCAGCAGCTGGGGTGTCAGCAGAAATCCACACCTGAAAAACAATTACTCTCAATAAAATACATACTTCCAAAGCAAGAACAAAAATTATTTCTCATACAATTCTGCAGCCTATCCTCACAATACATACTAGTACAGTTCAGTACAATACAGTACCTTATTTTTCCCATTTAAAATACACTGAGATATAAAACAGCTTGTTTTCAAAGGAACATTATGAAAAAAAATGATCTGAAAGTGGCAATTTCATTTTGAATTATACACAGTCAAGTAAAGAAAATGTGATACAGTAGATACTCAATGCCTCTACTATTGCCAATGTCTTAAATGATGTACACAGTACAATATCATACATGAAATTCTGAAAATATAATGCAATATATCATTATCATTATGAAAATAATTATTGAACCTTAGACAAAAAAGAGTAAACTTAACTAAAAACTGCTTAATTCCATAACAAAATACACCAACAATGTTACTTACACAATGATTACAATTGTAAGGTTGAGAAGGAAGAGATAGCGCAGAAACTTGAAGTATGAGCCAACTCCGGTACCAAATGTGCCTTCTATTTCCTTGATCTCTTTGTGCCACAAACTGTAGTCGTGAAACGTATCCAGAACTGACTGACGTATCTGTTTAAGAAAATGCAAGACATTACGAAAGATGTTTAATGCTTCCAAAAACTGCTAGAGCAACAAAGATAAGCTACAGAGAACATGAGGCCGGGAGGAAAGGCAGAACTTATGAGGCCGGGAGGAAAGGCAGAACTTATGAGGCCGGGAGGAAAGGCAGAACTTATGAGGCGGGAGGAAAGGCAGAACTTATGAGGCCGGGAGGAAAGGCAGAACTTATGAGGCCGGGAGGAAAGGCAGAACTTATGAGGCGGGAGGAAAGGCAGAACTTATGAGGCCGGGAGGAAAGGCAGAACTTATGAGGCCGGGAGGAAAGGCAGAACTTATGAGGCCGGGAGGAAAGGCAGAACTTATGAGGCCGGGAGGAAAGGCAGAACTTATGAGGCCGGGAGGAAAGGCAGAACTTATGAGGCCGGGAGGAAAGGCAGAACTTATGAGGCCGGGAGGAAAGGCAGAACTTATGAGGCCGGGAGGAAAGGCAGAACTTATGAGGCCGGGAGGAAAGGCAGAACTTATGAGGCCGGGAGGAAAGGCAGAACTTATGAGGCCGGGAGGAAAGGCAGAACTGATGAGGCCGGGAGGAAAGGCAGAACTTATGAGGCCGGGAGGAAAGGCAGAACTTATGAGGCCGGAGGAAAGGCAGAACTTATGAGGCCGGGAGGAAAGGCAGAACTTATGAGGCCGGGAGGAAAGGCAGAACTTATGAGGCCGGGAGGAAAGGCAGAACTTATGAGGCCGGGAGGAAAGGCAGAACTTATGAGGCCGGGAGGAAAGGCAGAACTATGAGGCCGGGAGGAAAGGCAGAACTTATGAGGCCGGGAGGAAAGGCAGAACTTATGAGGCCGGGAGGAAAGGCAGAACTATGAGGCCGGGGGGAAAGGCAGAACTGATGAGGCCGGGAGGAAAGGCAGAACTGATGAGGCCGGGAGGAAAGGCAGAACTGATGAGGCCGGGAGGAAAGGCAGAACTTATGAGGCCGGGAGGAAAGGCAGAACTGATCAGCAAGAAAAACTAGCTATAAAGGGTAATCTTCAAATGTACATAATTTCTATGGCAATTAATTAAGTCCGGCATAGTGGCACAGCATAGAAAATCCTCATAACCAAAGTTTCTGCCATCCACATGTCACAAGATAATAAGAGTAACTCAGCCAGGAAAATGATGCATTGAATTTTGTATTTTTTTTAAGTTTTTGGTTAATTGCATTAATACTTTGCATATTACTGCTCAGCACATGTGTGCCAGACTCATGTTTTTTGGGGTACAAATGAGTGAAGATCAGGCTACTTGTATTTTAAATAGTTAACACCAAGTTATATACCTTCATTGAGGTCTAAGTGCACTATCGGCATTTCTGTAATAACTCAAATTTGCTTTAGTGTACAACATACCTTGTACCAGCGCATGCTGAGAGTGTATTTGAGATACTGCATCCTGCTTATGGTACGTGACGAGTAGCGATGTGAAGAGCGGCGGGCTGTCAGCCTTCTCCGTATTTCCTTTTTCACCCTTAAGGGTTTATACAATTCTCTTAGCACCTCTCTGAAATTGAGAAAATTGCATTGTTGTATATGTGTGCTACATCCCTGAGAGCTATGCTGGTGGTGGCTATTTTAATCCTCATATGGTAAAGATACACATTAAATGTACAGTGGACCCCCGGTTAACGATATTTTTTCATTCCAGAAGTATGTTCAGGTGCCAGTACTGACCGAATTTGTTCCCATAAGGAATATTGTGAAGTAGATTAGTCCATTTCAGACCCCCAAACATACACATACAAACGCACTTACATAAATACACTTACATAATTGGTCGCATTGGGAGGTGATCGTTAAGCGGGGGTCCACTGTACTTTCAGCAGAGTTTATGGAGGGTTCCATGTATAGAAAAGTGTTCTGATCATTTGCTTGGATACTGAACTGTGATACACTTTAGATGACAGGCACAACAAATTGGAGTTTAAAATCGACTTTTCATACTACATAGTCTTTATCTTCATAATCATGGGATATAAACACATGAATCTTATTTCTGAAAAGATATATTTTTTATTAACACTTCAGCCATTTCCTGAGGCAGGATGACTCAACTTCAAAGAAAAACCCAAAAAGAAAGAAAAAACGTTCATCATCATTCAACACTTTCACCATCATTCATAAATAATCACTGTATGGCTAGGACAACATTACTGAGTGACTACAGTCCTTCAGTCTCCCACTTGTACACTCACTGACCTCTTGTAAATCTTACATATATTTTATTTACAACAAATTAAATTGTCTAGATTACTCTGATTGTTGCTGAAGACAGCATCACTCAAAAAATATTCCTCCTTTACACTGTGCATTCTTCTACTCTTATTTCTTTTTAACCCATTAGTCATTCCTCATCATGGAAGAGTGACCCAAAGAAGGAAAATACATTCACCATCATTCACTCCCTACCTGTTTTTGTAGAGGGTAGTCTTCTCAGCCATACCTTCCTCCCCTGGAAGGGGACACCATAGCTAACACAATCAATGGTATCATTAAACTCACAAGCCCCACCATGAAAACGTGGCTACCCACAGGAGGTTTTAATAGTAAATCGAATTTTCATACAATTAAAATTTGAATTAATGTACCCTTGATGGTCACTATTTGTGATGTAATTTTTTTAAAAGTTAAAAGATCGAATGACTTCACCCATGTCTTCTCCATTACTGAATATGACAATACCTTGACATTTTATGATTTTTTTTACCCTCTACTTCTGCATCCTTATTGTCTTAATAACAAAATAAACAAAAATATGAATCCAAAATCATGCTGGAAGATCACAATCAAACCTTTCTACTACACTTATTAATGCAGAGCAAAAAAAAAAAAAAAAGTTGACATTAGGAGGATAGGTCATCTTTTAATAATTCAGCAGTTGCATTTACCATGACAAGAAAGTCAAGATTTACCTTCTCATTATCTCTCCATCCACATTCTCTGACATGAGCTTCTCATCTCCTTCCATGGCATCAGCAAGTTCTTCTACAGCTTCATCTTCTGTATTGGGACTGACGCCTCTCCTTCGCCGAGCCATCACGGTGTTAAACCAAGCAGACTGTCGATGTTCGGAGCCATAATGAAGAGTATGGCTACTCAAAAGCTCTCCTACATGAAAAAGGTATATTATTATCAGTATATGTATAAACAGCGCTAAACAAAGTGGTAAAAATAATTTTAAACAGCAAGTTATTCACTAATAACACACCAGTCAGTTTCATAAGTACAGTGGACCCCCGCTTTACGATCAGCTCCCAATGCCACCAATTATGTAAGTGTATTTATGTAAGTGCATTTGTAAGTGTATGTTTGGGGGTCTGAAATGGACTAATCTAATTCACAATATTCCTTATGGGAACAAATTCGTTCAGTAATGGCACCTGAACATACTACTGGAATGAAATAATATCATAAGCCGGAGGTTCACTGTATTAGGATAATACGCAATTTAAAATAAATTATTATGGTTAATGCACTGGTGTGCGAGATTTAGGTCTCACTTGCCATGGGTTTAAGTCGCACCCATTCCCTGATTTGATTAAATTATCTAATCATTATCACCAATCTTATTTCCTGTTTCATTTACATAACAGACAACAAAGAGAGCATGAACATAAAAATTAAAGCAAAGAACTTATTGAGAATTATAAATTTCTTAAATAATCCCAGCAGCAGAGGGAACATTCTTGTTGAGGCATCAGTTGGCAGACACGACATACCTGACCATGGTTGAGCATCATCTTCCTCATCAGCAAACTTAACTCTTCGTTGCTCTTCTGGCTCATAGTAGAGCATTTCAAAACTTTCCACTAGAGAATGTGCCATGTTGGCTGCTTCTCTACACCTTTAATATTATAGTGAAATTCCAAAATTCAACAGACAGCTATAGTGATAGTGCACTGAAAACAAAGTCTCGAGCATTGATTTATGGAAGGCAAGACTGCAAAGGATTACAAGGAAGATAATGGTCAGATACATTTCAATGCAAAATTTAGAAAAGTGAAATGAGGTAATGATATGCTTTTCCCTTCAAAATGCAGTAAAGTAATGAACTACATCTCCTCAAAAAAGTGTGAAAGTAACCAAAAGACCTTTTGAAATATTTTTTTTTTTTTTTATTATCACACCGGCCGATTCCCACCAAGGCAGGGTGGCCCGAAAAAGAAAAACTTTCACCATCATTCACTCCATCACTGTCTTGCCAGAAGGGTGCTTTACACTACAGTTTTTAAACTGCAACATTAACACCCCTCCTTCAGAGTGCAGGCACTGTACTTCCCATCTCCAGGACTCAAGTCCGGCCTGCCGGTTTCCCTGAATCCCTTCATAAATGTTACTTTGCTCACACTCCAACAGCACGTCAAGTATTAAAAACCATTTGTCTCCATTCACTCCTATCAAACACGCTCACGCATGCCTGCTGGAAGTCCAAGCCCCTCGCACACAAAACCTCCTTTACCCCCTCCCTCCAACCCTTCCTAGGCCGACCCCTACCCCGCCTTCCTTCCACTACAGACTGATACACTCTTGAAGTCATTCTGTTTCGCTCCATTCTCTCTACATGTCCGAACCACCTCAACAACCCTTCCTCAGCCCTCTGGACAACAGTTTTGGTAATCCCGCACCCTCCTAACTTCCAAACTACGAATTCTCTGCATTATATTCACACCACACATTGCCCTCAGACATGACATCTCCACTGCCTCCAGCCTTCTCCTCGCTGCAACATTCATCACCCACGCTTCACACCCATATAAGAGCGTTGGTAAAACTATACTCTCATACATTCCCCTCTTTGCCTCCAAGGACAAAGTTCTTTGTCTCCACAGACTCCTAAGTGCACCACTCACTCTTTTTCCCTCATCAATTCTATGATTCACCTCATCTTTCATAGACCCATCCGCTGACACGTCCACTCCCAAATATCTGAATACGTTCACCTCCTCCATACTCTCTCCCTCCAATCTGATATTCAATCTTTCATCACCTAATCTTTTTGTTATCCTCATAACCTTACTCTTTCCTGTATTCACCTTTAATTTTCTTCTTTTGCACACCCTACCAAATTCATCCACCAATCTCTGCAACTTCTCTTCAGAATCTCCAAGAGCACAGTGTCATCAGCAAAGAGCAGCTGTGACAACTCCCACTTTGTGTGTGATTCTTTATCTTTTAACTCCACGCCTCTTGCCAAGACCCTCGCATTTACTTCTCTTACAACCCCATCTATAAATATATTAAACAACCACGGTGACATCACACATCCTTGTCTAAGGCCTACTTTTACTGGGAAAAAATTTCCCTCTTTCCTACATACTCTAACTTGAGCCTCACTATCCTCGTAAAAACTCTTCACTGCTTTCAGTAACCTACCTCCTACACCATACACTTGCAACATCTGCCACATTGCCCCCCTATCCACCCTGTCATACGCCTTTTCCAAATCCATAAATGCCACAAAGACCTCTTTAGCCTTATCTAAATACTGTTCACTTATATGTTTCACTGTAAACACCTGGTCCACACACCCCTACCTTTCCTAAAGCCTCCTTGTTCATCTGCTATCCTATTCTCCGTCTTACTCTTAATTCTTTCAATTATAACTCTACCATACACTTTACCAGGTACACTCAACAGACTTATCCCCCTATAATTTTTGCACTCTCTTTTATCCCCTTTGCCTTTATACAAGGAACTATGCATGCTCTCTGCCAATCCCTAGGTACCTTACCCTCTTCCATACATTTATTAAATAATTGCACCAACCACTCCAAAACTATATCCCCACCTGCTTTTAACATTTCTATCTTTATCCCATCAATCCCGGCTGCCTTACCCCCTTTCATTTTACCTACTGCCTCACGAACTTCCCCCACACTCACAACTGGCTCTTCCTCACTCCTACAAGATGTTATTCCTCCTTGCCCTATACACGAAATCACAGCTTCCCTATCTTCATCAACATTTAACAATTCCTCAAAATATTCCTTCCATCTTCCCAATACCTCTAACTCTCCATTTAATAACTCTCCTCTCCTATTTTTAACTGACAAATCCATTTGTTCTCTAGGCTTTCTTAACTTGTTAATCTCACTCCAAAACTTTTTCTTATTTTCAACAAAATTTGTTGAAATGCCACTACAAATTTTACCAATTCAGAAAAATCTTGCAGTTAATTGGACTCAGTTTAAACAAAGCTGATTAAAGGGATTTGTTATACTGTCAGTCTGTAGTTTAAGTGTGGTACTTTTACTTTCTGACATCGGGGCAATTATTATTTTGCTAAAGTGGATGACCTACCACAAAATAATACAGTATAATCCTATTTGAAATCTTTCAAAATGAAGCTTGTTTAACATTAAATGTAGACTCATAACTTCAACTAAATAATCACAATTAAAAAAGACCTTTACTTAAATCACTGCCACTGCTATACAACACAAACTTCTACAAACAGATTAAGGTAACTCCTACAATGCTTCTTCATGCCAGTAAGAGAGATGACAAGCTCAATTATTACATACAGAGTATCTACAAACACTCAGTGATATATAGCAAGTGATGAAGAAATTTTGTATTAACCAACTAACTGTAGGGCTTGACAGTTCTCTTAATACACATAAAAAGTATTAAACACACACACACACACACACACACACACACACACACATTGCTTCCTGACTGCCATTTCCTGTGCTGGGAGTTAGAGATAACATGGGAGCATGTGTTCTCTCTTCAGCGAAAACCATAATAATTGTGACATCAAATCGACATGTACAGTATACATAAATGGTATGTTTTAAAGTATAGTACATAGTAGCAGTAGTATATGATAGTTGTTGGGCGGGAATGTTGTGTTTCAGAAAAAATGCTGTCAACGCAGCTAGTTAACTTGGTGGGAAAGGCCCAATGTGTAAATAAGGCATTAGTACTATGATCATCCCAGTGCATTCTTTTACGCATTTTACTAACTCAAGTGGTATGAGTACCCCTTCTCCTGTATAAGTTACAAAATGTAAAAGAAAGAAAATTTTATGAAAACATTTCTTCTTTTTTGGGTTACCCTCCAGCCGAGAGGATGGATTAAAAAAAAAAGCGGTATGAGTTTTGGTTCACTGCCAGACACCACTAAGCCCACACAAGCAAATATCCTTGAAAATGATACATGATGATCAGTGTTGAACACATATTTAGCACTCATATCCTAGTTTGTTTTTAATGCCTAAATGTAACAGCAAAAAAAAAAATACCTTTCTTCAGTATACCTGGAATAAACCTGATCCTAGTTTGTTTTTAATGCCTAAATGTAACAGCAAAAAAAAAAAAAAATATCTTTCTTCAGTATACCTGGAATAAACCTGATCCTAGTTTGTTTTTAATGCCTAAATGTAACAGCAAAAAAAAAAAAATACCTTTCTTCAGTATACCTGGAATAAACCTGATCCTAGTTTGTTTTTAATGCCTAAATGTAACAGCAAAAAAAAAAAAAAATACCTTTCTTCAGTATACCTGGAATAAACCTGATCCTAGTTTGTTTTTAACCCTTTGAGGGTTTTCGTCGTACTAGTACGTCTTACGCGTAGGGGTTTTTGACGTACTAGTACTCATAAATTCTAGCGACCTCAAATCTAGTGGGAGAAAGCTGGTAGGCCTTCATATGAAAGAATGGGTCTATGTGGTCAGTGTGCACAGTCTAAAAAAAATCCTGCAGCACACGGTGCATAATGAGAAAAAAAAAACTTTTTCCATTTTTTTTTTAATAAATCAGCGACTTTGCAGTGTATTTTCGTATAGTATTTATTGTTGTATTCTAGTTTTCTTGGTCTCATTTTATAGAATGGAAGACATATTACTGAAATTGAGATGATTTTGACTGGTTTTACAATGAAAGGTGCCTTGAATTGAGCTCAAAGTAGCAGAAATGTTCGATTTTTACCAAACTTCAAAAGTAAACAAATCGTGCCAAGCGTGCAATACACGTCAACTGGTGAGTCTAATATTCTTTCACAAGTGCACCAATAATATTTATACCATTTTTTACACTAATGCAGTAGTCTGCATAACAGTAAATCTTATATTTTTGTGAGAATAAAAATTCAAAGTGGAAAGCAAAAGAATATAAGAGGGGCCTTGAGACGTGACTAATGACTAGAGGAAATGTCATTTAGTGCCAGGAAATGTCTTTCTTGTTTATTCTGGACCCTATTCCGAAATTGGCATCTTTTGAAATTTGTGTGAAATTGGCAAAATTGCTAAATTCTGACCACTGTATGGATAGTTGAATTTATAAATGGGTGGTTTCTTGCACCCATTCGATAGAAAAAAAATGGAGTTCTAGCGAAATATTCATGTTTTTTGTCGACTAGTACAGTGAAATTGGCCGAAAATGGGGCTCAAAGTGGGCAAAATCGCCGATCCGTAAACATCGCCGAGACCGCTAACTTTGCGAGAGCATAATTCCGTAAGTTTTCTATCAAATTTCAAACTTTTGGTGTCGTTATGATCGGGAAAAGATTCTCTATCTTTTCATAAGAGAAAATAATTTTTTTTTTTTTTTAAATTTGGCCGACCCTGAGAACGAGTTTCGGAGAGGGCCTGTCGACCCTCAAAGGGTTAATGCCTAAATGTAACAGCAAAAAAAAAAATACCTTTCTTCAGTTTACCTGGAATAAACCTGACAAACATGAGCACCTGTCAAGCAAATTGACTTGCCTATGAACCGTCATAGTCTGCTCACAACTGTCAGGGCATCTCTAAATACAATCTCCCATTATCTCTAGTCATAGAACATGCACATCCTGTAGGGTTAATAAAGTCTCTGGGAAACAACTGGTAATAAGGTTTGATCCATGAATGGGAGAACAGCTCCAATTCTTTTGATCAAGAGCCCTTCACTAGCATTAAAGTAGTCCTCCCTGCTCCCTTGAAGGTTCTAAAACTACAGTAGCTTGCAAGACAGCAGCTTTCCTTTAATGTCTAGACTTGAACAACCTCAACCAGAGAGAGGAAAATCTCTTCATAGGGTTCAAAAAGCATTATTACTGCATATTCACATGCGGTAATAATAATAGAACGTACATGGGTCATACAGCACCTGGGAAATGGGAAGTAGAGTAATCTTGTACAATCCATGCAAGGGAAGAGTAGCTCCAATTCCTTAGATAAAGAGCCCTTCACTGATATCAAGACAACCCCAATAGGGACAGAGATCATGAGAACTAGGTTTTTCTCAACACACCGGCCATCTCCCACCAAGGTACGGTGAACTAATAAAAGAAGAAACACTTTCACCATCACTCACTCCACTGTCTTGCCAGAGGGGTGCCGATACTACAGTTCAAAACTGCAAATATCCTAGTTATGTGGGGTAAGTCATGTCACTGATATTATGAGCTCAATATAATTAAAAATATGTAAAGCTTTAATTTACCCGTAAACGGTTCAAACGTACATATATGTTTTTTCAATATTTGAAAGTATGTAAAAAAAGTAGATCTTCTTTTTGTTTTTTTTTTACATTTGAAAATGTGTAAAAAAACTTTGATCTACTTTTCTTTTTTGTTATATTTGAAAATATGTAAAAAAAAGCGTAGATCTACTTTTGTAGCACTACACATGTGAACGTAGATCTGCTTGGACCGTTTACGGGTTAAAGCATAACCTTCAGTGGAAAATGATTTGCATCACTAGTGAACCATACCTCCATGTTGAGAGGGTAGCATGTACTGCACCCTGCGTTCCCGGCCGCTATACGAGTGATACTTTGTCGACTCTCGATTGTGTCGCTCCCTAAGGTGAACATCAGTTCGTGCTCGACGTAAGTTAACATGGCTGTGTTCATCGTCGCTCGAGCTTGAATGATTACCACTGACTAAAAATTTTAAGAGCATGTAATTATACAATAAACTAATGAAATATTGAAAAAATTAAATTCAGGTACAGTATACCAAGGCTCTGAAAAAATTGTAGTCTTGAAAAAGTATAAAAAATTGCTAATAATGTTTATAGGAAATCCTTGAAAATGTTCTATTAAATTACGCATTTCTTGGATGGATATGTACAAGGAATATCCTAGGTTTGATTATGCCTACCATACTATATACTGTACTGTAAAATATTGCAAAAAATTCAGAATCATGTATGAGGTCTAAATAAAAACTTATTAGAAATGTAAAAATTTGCAAATTCAATAATGAAAATGAAAATGTAAATATATGAAAATGAAACAGAAAATTATTTAATTGAAGGGAAGTAAAGGATAATTATATTTATTATTTTTTTATTAACACATTGGCCATCTCCCACCAAGCCAGGGTGGCCTGAAAGGCAGGGCGGCCTGAAAGGCAGGGCGGCCTGAAAAAGAAAAACTTTCACCATCATTCACTCCATCACTGTCTTGCCAGAGGCACACTTACACTACAATTATAAAACTGCAACATTAACACATCTTATATTTAATAGGAACTGCTAAATTCATAAGGGTCTTGGAGCACTTGGGGAACCAGAGTAATGATTTATTTATTTATTTATTTATTTTATGTCTTTGCAAATAGTACATTGAGATTTTGTATTTACAATAGTGGGTTGCAATGCAAAGACAGCCTCTATTATGCCTGATCCAAGAAGGACAGGATAACTTTAATTTCTTTGACCAAGAAACCTTCGCTTGCATGAAGGTATCCAACATTAGGGGTAAAGAAAAAGAATGTAAGGATAATGGAGTAAGAAATGTTAGGTAATATGAGGAAAAACTGTGTATAGGATGACTCACGAAATCGTAATGACATGATTGCAAACAAACCATACCCCGGCCTGGATTGAACCCGCGGTCAGAGAGTCTCAAAACTCCAGCCCGTCATGTTAGCCACTAGACCAGCTAGCCACAATAAGATTCGTCCAACTAGATATATTTCTACACCATAGGAAGGTTAGCACAGGCACCACTGTGACCACAAATGAAAGTTTTTACAGACGAATCTCCAGCTAGCGTGGCCGTGACGAACTCTAGGATGTTGAAGATCAAATGAAGATTTCTACCTTCATCCTCCCTTCCCCAACTCCCTCCCCCATCAAAAATAGTATGACATATAAATCACAGACTGGGGCCTAAGCCCATGGTAGGTGAGTCCTAAAACTTGGCCAAGTGGTTAGAACACTGGCCTATGAAGCTTTAGTTCTCACCTGCCATGGGTTCAACCCCACCCGTTCCTTGATTAGTTTGCAATCGTGTTATTGTTATTTCAGGAACAGTGATATATAATTATACGAAGTCTTAGAATAGTTAGGTAAATCATGTTTTTATAACATGCAAATTTTAGCAAGGTTAGGTTGCTACATTAGTTTTGGTGCAACATAAAAAATTGGTGTAGAGTATAAAATAAAATATATAACTCTATTTCACTATTTTCTTTTAGCATGAAAAAGTCTTCAGTTGATGCAGTGTCATGATTTGTGGTTATATATGGATAGATGCTGGAGAGAGGAGAAGTGAAATGATAGAATGCTGTGGATACCCTGTGTGTAGATTGTAATATTAAAAATAAGATACTAGAATGACTGCTAGGCTACTTTTAAAGACTATCTTTAGTGCTATGTGCAACAAAATTAACTTTACAAGGCATTTTTTTTATGGATCAACAAATAAGGAACAAACTTACAAAAATACTTACTTTCATTCAGTGGTATATTTTCAACCTCTACAGTATGTGTATAAGAAGCCATTTTGCAAGTGTTCCTTCAGCCGAGGGCAAGTACCAGTAGTGTACTAAGTAAAACCGACTTCTTAATAGCGCTTGAGCTCATAATTCAGCGGCCTTTATTCTTAGAAATATGCAGTTACATCCACAGTCACCAGTCATTACCACCAACAAGCAGTAACCCCTAGAGATGGGGACAAAGGAGATACAGTACTCGAGTTAACTGCAAAAACATTCTTATCCATCTAAAAGTTCATTACATGTTCATGATAAGATTTTATCGCGCTAACGCATTTCTCTTATCAGTGTCCACCTGATAAGTAGTTCAGATTTTGGCTATTATGCAGGTCTTTATACTGCTAACTTTATCCATATACAATATCTCAAGTAACACATTACTGTTTATCTTTAGATAAATAATTAAATAATTACAGCATTTAACTAATAAATATTTAGAGAGAAATAAAAACCAAATCTGTTAAATAACTTGCTGCAGATTCACATCAGCATTTACAAACAAAACACTCAGGAATTAATTAATATTTTACGACCTCCAAGCTTCAGTACAAACGTGGAACATATCTGGAGTAAACCTGGAGGGTATTTCAGGGGTCAATGCCCCCCTTTATATTATTATTTTAATAAAAGAAAGGCCAACCAATTTCGCTTCATCATCTGCCTGACCTGGAGTACCTGGAAAGGGTTTCGAGGATTAATGCCCCCGCAGCCCAGTCTGTGACCAGGCCTTGTGGTGGATCAGAGCCTGATCAACCAGGCTGTTACTGAAAATAAATGGTATAAAATACCGACACTATGGAAACATAAACACATATGCAGTTTTATGTGATCCTTTATTGACAACATTTCGCCTACACAGTGGGCTTTTTCAAGTCACAAACAGATCTGTTTGTGACTTGAAAAAGCCCACTGTGTGGGCGAAACATTGTCAATAAAGGATCACATTAAACCACATATGTGTTTATGTTTCCACAGGCTGTTACTACTAGCTGCATATAAACCACCGTACAAACCACAGCCCGGCTGGTCAGGTGAGTTAAAAATATATCTTATATTGTGTTCTAGTTAGGTTTCTGTAAGGCGTTTGCTAAAGATGTTAACATTTATTGATTCAGGCAGAGCACTGATGTTATCATAACGTTTCCTAAGTCACCTGGAGCTTGAATTAAGCTGTAATATACTCCGACTGCTATGGAGGACATAATAGCAAAATATACTACACAATATTTGCAGTCGTGACTGGCAGCAAATTCGTTATTGAAAAAACCATGTAGTAGGTGCTTGTCGCTCCTGGGGTGCGACCAATGGACCAGTGGAAACGTTAGTCAGGTTTCCTTATACCTGTAGCCCTTGTTCACCTACCAGTAATTAGGTACCTGGGTTTTACACAACTGGTGCGGGTTGCATCTTGGGGAGCGGATTAAAAGACCCTAATGAAAATAAGAGAGACTGATGACATCTTGGCTTTATTGGGTTATCTATGGATAATAATGCAAACAAAATCACACATAAACAATACAATATAAATATAATATAATGAAAATAATTGAAATAAGTCAAGGACCACAATGGGAATAAGTCACTTTGACTATTTTTTGGGGGGAGGGGGGTTATTCTACATATTAACATATGTTACTATGTTACTATGTAACATATGTTACTATATATGATAATTTATGTAACTTTCTTTATATGCAGCTGTAGTTAAATAAGCTTACTAAGCTGCGAGACCAGTCACAAGGCAGACATAATGTCCTTCCTCACATCACTGCAGATAATTAACACTCTTATATTTTACCTGGATATCCTAGGTTAAATTCTACATAATTCACCATATAAAAACCACTGTAAAAGTTTCAAATTATGTATTAAGAGGCCTAAATACAAAACCTTCTCGTCCTCCTCTTGTTGGTGTTTAAAGGGCCACTGAGAACTGGTACCGTATTGAACCCGGACTTCCAGTGTTTACATGGAGAGAGTTCCGGGGGTCAACGCCCCCGCGGCCCGGTCTGTGACCAGGCCTCCTGGTGGATCAGAGCCTGATCAACCAGGCTGATAATAATGATATAATATTATCTTTATTTACTATAAGTATATGTACAAGGTATACAGACCATAGCTGGCATCAGTGACATACTACTGTACAGAAAGACCCTTGTTATGCTGAACATTTCTCGCAAATTTGGTCAGTTTTGTCCCAGGATGCGACCCACACCAGTCCACTAACACCTAGGTACCTAATTTACTGATGGGTGAACATAGACAACATGATACAGTGTTTTTGCAGAGATAGGTGACATTTAGGTGTACATGCAAAAAGCCCCTAGTTATGCAGAGCTTTTCAAAACAAAATGTTGCCCAGACCTTGACGGGGTTGAGAGAGGAGAGTTCCAGTTTAATATCTTTATTATGGACCCCATATCCATCCTGTAGGTGGTAGTCAAAAGATTACAGAGGTACATAATGGGTCCAGGGACTGTACCTCAACATTACAGAGGTACATAATGGGTCCAGGGACTGTACCTCAACGTTACAGAGGTACATAATGGGTCCAGGGACTGTACCCCTAAGTTTTGATAGCTGAACAAGTTACAAAGGTAATAAACTCCCTCAGCAAACACCTCATCTAAATCTTCTCCTTTCTTCGTTCTCAGTTCTCCTTTTTTTTCTTTTCTTTCTTTCTTTCTTTCTTTCTTTCTTTCTTTCTTCTTCTTCTTCGTCTTCTTCGTCTTCGAGGGTTCTAAGGGCCACTGACAGCTTATGAGCCCTGGTCCTGAGCTTGACCAGGAAGGTCAGGTTAGGTCAGGTTTGTCAAAAAACAGGACAAGTGTTTCGTGACGCGGGTCTTAGTCATATGATAACCCGCAGTTGGAGCTTTTGGTCATCTGACCGATGCCTTCCGCTGGCTTACCAGTCCAACATTTTAAAAATTAGGGTTGTTTATAATTGGCCAGGAGAGATAAATTAGTTGTACCGCCTGAGCAGCTGGTTCAATGTGCATCCCATTGTCGCTCTATATGCTGTATCACATACAAATAATATTTCAGAGGCCGCACTGTATTGTATACATTAACTATATGAATTGTAAAATAGTGATGTAACAACGCCCAGTAGGGTCTGACAAAAACCCATTGTGACCTCTGTAATCCTGTATATTTGCGCTACCGCTTAGTAGAGGAGCATGGAGTGCACAATAAATTAGTTGCTAAGGCGGTACAACAGCTACAGTAGTGACCGGCGGAATGGTGGGGCCAGGAGCTGAGACTCGACCCCTTGCAACCACAAATAGGTGAGTACCAACAAGCAATCGCACGTGAGTCAACAACAACAGGCTCTCCCTTGGCCTGGAAGGAGGTGATACATGGCACCCAGACCAACTGTCCAGCAGTAGATAATGTTTAATGTGAACCATTGTACCAGGAAAGAAAACAGGGAGTAGTCGACAGTGATACTCCAAGCAGGAGTTAGAATGAGATGTAGACACTCCACCAACGCCGGCTAAGATGTCCCATAGAGATCTGTATTACAACACATCTCTTAACACTCCAGCTGTAGATTTTTTTATGATTTTCCTGCAATTAATATAATAAATGAAGGATATAATAGTGTTTATATAACACTATGTAGGTGTCTAGTGTTGGTGTGAATTTTAAAAGATGTTAAGCCACAGAGGAACCAACAACCCCTATAATTTACAATTTTTTATAATAATCAGTTAAGTAAGTAAAACATATTTCTTATAATGTTGAAAAGAAATTAACATTCCAATAATGAAAATGTAGTACACACCTGAAAGTGTTATTAAATTAATTGCAAAGATGTATTGTGTACGAAAAAGTTGGAGCGAAAATGGCGGAGTAACACAGATGGGACTCGGAATTTGTGGAGAATTAATCTCATTTAATCTAAGCCGATAGAAATAGTACCGGCAAATATAGTGTCCTATATAATAAGTGAATTAAACGTGTATCTGGAAGAGTTTAGATATAAAGTGTAACTATCAAAATAAAGATGATACGAGTGAAAAACGTGAGCTGTTGCTGGAGAATCTACATTGTTCATCACATGTATCATTAAGTATGTAATGTACGCCTCCCACTGTGAATTAAATCTCACAACAGGTAATGTAAGTAATTATTTACTAATATTAGCTGCCTACCGATAAGGAGGCGTTGAGGTATATCATTAAGATCATAATTTGGTGAGTAATATATTTATATGTTTTTCTAATTATGTAATTAATCTATATATGTAATTACTCAGGTCAAGTAAATGATACTACTGAAATATAATATATATATATATATATATATATATATATATATATATATATATATATATATATATATATATATATAATATAATTATATACATGTATATATATATATATAATATATATATATATATATATATATATATATATATATATATATATATATATATATATATATATATATATATATATATATATAATATATATTATATACATGTATATATATATATAATATATATATATATATATATAATATATATATATTATATATATATATATATATATATATATATATATAATATATACATATATATATATATATATATATATATATATATAAATATATATATATATATATATATATATATATATATATATATACATTAATATATATATATATAATTATATATAATATATATATACATGTATATATATATAATATAATTATATATATATATATATAATATATATATATATATATATATATATAATATATATATATATATATATATATATATATATATATATATATATATATATATATATATATATATATTATATATATATATATATATATATATATATATATAAATATAATATATAATATATAATATATATATATAAATTATATATATATATATATACTATAACCAAATTTAATACAGCCATTGTTATTGGCTCGGAATATTTTATTTAAAATTCCAGAATTGTATGTTCAGGTAATTTAAGGGTCATTATTATCATGGGGGAGCGCTAAACCCATAGGGATTATACAGCGCCTATGGGGGGCGATGGAAGGTATTCAGGGTCAATTCAGGGAACTGGAACAGATCCAGTTCCCTAGATCAAGAGCCCTTCACCAGCGCCAAGGAACCTCCCTTCAGGGGATTTTAAGAGCCACATAATTCGTCAGTCTTACAATAACATGTTTATTTTTCCACTATAATCCTGACCAACCAGGCTGTGGTTCGTACTTCAGCTTGCGTGCGGCCAGCAGTAACAGCCTGGTTGATCAGACCCTGATCCACCATGAGGCCTGGTCTCAGACCGGGCCGCGGGGGCGTTGACCCCCAGAACCCTCTCCAGGTACCTTGTCCATAATTACTATCGCATTTACGATATCTTTGAGGACAGTAGTGTTGTAGAGGTCTCAACTTTGGTCACAATATTTACCATAAACTTTCACTCTCCAAATAAGCCGATATTGCCTATAAATTTCCCTGTAAATTAAATTTTACCTGTAAATTAAGTTTTGCCTGTAAATTAAACTGCCTGTAAATTAAGTTTTGCCTGTAAATTAAACTGCCTGTAAATTAAGTTTTGCCTGTAAATTAAGTTTTACCTGTAAATTAAGTTTTGCCTGTAAATTAAGTTTTGCCTGTAAATTAAGTTTTGCCTGTAAATTAAGTTTTGCCTGAAAATTAAGTTTTACCTGTAAATTAAGTTTTACCTGTAAATTAAGTTTTGCCTGTAAATTAAGTTTTGCCTGTAAATTAAGTTTTGCCTGTAATTTAAGTTTTACCTGTAAATTAAGTTTTACCTGTAAATTAAGTTTTACCTGTAAATTAAGTTTTGCCTGTAAATTAAGTTTTGCCTGTAAATTAAGTTTTGCCTGTAATTTAAGTTTTACCTGTAAATTAAGTTTTACCTGTAAATTAAGTTTTGCCTGTAAATTAAGTTTTACCTGTAAATTAAGTTTTACCTGTAAATTAAGTTTTGCCTGTAATTTAAGTTTTGCCTGTAAATTGAACTTTGCCTGTAAATTAAGTTTTGCCTGTAAATTAAGTTTTGCCTGTAAATTAAAGTTTTGCCTGTAAATTAAGTTTTGCCTGTAAATTAAGTTTTGCCTGTAAATTAAGTTTTGCCTGTAATTTAAGTTTTGCCTGTAAATTGAACTTTGCCTGTAAATTAAGTTTTGCCTGTAAATTAAGTTTTGCCTGTAAATTAAACTTTGCCTGTAAATTAAGTTTTGCCTGTAAATTAAGTTTTCCTTGTAAATTAAGTTTTGCCTGTAATTTAAGTTTTGCCTGTAAATTAAGTTTTGCCTGTAAATTAAGTTTTGCCTGTAAATTAAGTTTTGCCTGTAAATTAAGTTTTGCCTGTAAATTAAGTTTTGCCTGTAAATTAAACTTTGTAAAAAAAGAGGAATGGTGAACTAAGAGAGGATATGTTATTTTTAAGAATATTTTTTATTATAAATTCATATACAATGAACCATGGCGGCACGGGTGAGGTAGTTGACCTATCAGGTACAGGTGCTGACCAACCAGACACCACCTGCCTCATTACCTGACCAATCAGATACTACCTGCCTCATTACCTGACCAATCAGACACCACCTGCCTCATTACCTGATCAGACACCACCTGCCTCATTACCTGATCAATCAGACACCACCTGTCTCATCTCACAATCAGACACCACCTGTCTCACCAACTGACCAATCATATTACCTGACCAATCTGTTATCACCTGACGAATCAGATATTACCTTACCAATCAGATATTACCTCACCAATCAGATATTACCTCACCAATCAGATTTAAATGACCAATCAAATATCACCTGACCAATCAGATATCACCTGATCAATCAGATTCAAAGTTTATCTCGGTCGACTTGCTCCAGTCCTCTTCTACAATCAGATAACCAATAAGCTTCATTGCCACTCATCTTACGGGTTTACAGCTTCCACTCTTACAGGTTTAGCCCCTCCCAATAATAATAATAACATAGACATTTTAACTACTTAAACATAATGTAACAAAAAGTTTACCGCAATAGAAAAAATTCAAAGGACAACCTGCCTAAAATCAAAATAATTTTATTGTTCCACAAGGACAGCAAATACTAACTCATCAATGTTTTTTTTATAAATAAACTGATATTATTGTATCATTTATGGGGTTACGAAATAACATTGGTGGCCTGGTGGTTAACGCTCTCGCTTCACACGGTGAGGGCCTGGGTTCGATTCCCAGCCAGAGTAGAAACATTGGACGTGTTTCTTTCCACCTGTTGTCTATGTTCCCCATCAGTAAAATGGGTACCTGGGTGTTAGTCGACTGGTGTGGGTCGCATCCTGGGACACTGACCTAAGGAGGCCTGGTCACAGACCGGGCCGCGGGGGCGTTGACCCCCGGAACTCTCTCCAGATATACTTCGTTAATCATACTCAAATAACCCGCACATAAAAGACAGAAGCTTACGACGACGTTTCGGTCCGACTTGGACCATTGACAAAGTCACACTGTGACTTTGTCAATGGTCCAAGTCGGACCGAAACGTCGTCGTAAGCTTCTGTCTTTTATGTGCGGGTTATTTGAGTATCGTTCCAGTCACGGTATTGTGCCTTTTTGTTATTTATATACTTCGTTAACTTTAGAATTAAATAAAATTTAAATAGAATTAAATAAAATTTATAAGTAATTTATAGGCGATGTAACTCAGTTGTCATTTTTAGTTGATTTTATCTGTTGCTCAGAAGTTGTTATTGTAAGTGGTGGAGGGATGCCAGGTGGTGTTCCTCCACCAGCTGGTGCAGGGATACCAGGTGGTGGAAACGAATACCATGTGGTATTCCTCCAGCAGTTGGTGGAGGGATACAAAGTGATATTCCTCCAGCAGGTGGTGGAATACCAGGTGGTATTCCTCCAGCAGTTGGTGGATGGATATCAGGTGGTATTCCTCCAGCAGCTGGTTGAGTGAAACATACTCCTGGAGTACACACGGTCTTGTCAACATCTGCCAATTCTTCAGAAACCAGAAGATTCTTGTATTCATACGAACGGCAGTTGTATCCTCGCCTATAGTGAGGTGAAGAGCTGCCTAATACTGTATTCTGAAATTTCGTTGTCAAAACAGGTGCTTCCAGGCAATTTTTATATAAACTATTTATGGACTAGTTTTAGTTTCTTCCACATAACATTGTATAAATAATTATAATTTAAGAACAACATCTTACGAGAAAACACGTTATAAGCTTATTGTTTCATTCATTGTTGAATTGTAATGATATTTTCTACGACAAACAAAATGAAGGACCGAGTGTTTTAGTGGCATCAGCCTCTGAACCAGAAGATATCTGGTTGTCTGACCCGACGCTGGGCACACAAGCCAGTGTTGGTAAGGGCACCAATCATGCACTGAATACCCGCTGCTGTCTCCGTCACAGTGCTGCTGATGCGAGTCTCCGGCAGCAGGAACCCATATCTCCCTTGGTCAGGCAGTTCGATAGTATAAGAGAAAGGGACGCCCAGTTCCCCGTATGCCCAGTCGTCGGTAGCCCCTGAGGCCAGACCATATAGTGGCCCTGAGCCACCAATCTCATACTCGGTTTCTCCACGAGATGCGTCCCTCACTGCGTCGGCAAACTTCTTAGCCAAACGTTTCAGCTGTTTAGCGTTCGCTGGAGCATTGCGCGTCCATCCCCAGGGATAGAGGATAGTCTGACCAAAGCTGTGTAAAGTGATGAAGAGATCGATGTCTCCTATAGACTTCATCATGGCTTGCAGGCCCCTCGTCTCAGGTTCACTGAATGGCATAGGTCCTTTGTAAGTCTCGCTGCAAGGGTTACTCGACGCTCCTACACCCCACTTCAAGTTCCAGTTGCGGTTGAGGTCGACTCCCTTGCACCGGCCGTCACTGGATAGATTGTCGCGGCGGTTCTTTCTCCACAGCCTGGAAGAAAAATCAGTTGTGATATAACTCTGTTATTATTATATTTGTGCACAGCTCTAAACCCCTGTGGGGCATTCAGCGCATGCCGCACTGGAGGCTCTATCATACATTTCCTAATTACGACAAGCACTATTTGCTTCTCCCATATCTCTACCGAGCAAACAATGGATTCTCCTCTCAAGATTGCCTCACTGAATAACAATAATAATAATAATAATCATCATTCCAAACTGAGTGACAGTTTGGAGTGACTATCTAAACTGTCGTATCTGGGCGCCTCTGCGAAGACAGTGATTATGTATGAATGATGGTGAAAGTGTTGTCCGATTATGAAAGTTTTTTCTTTCTTTTGGGGATTTTTCTTTCTTTTGGGTCACCCTACGTTGGTGGGAAACGGCCAACGTGTTAAAAATAATAATAATAATAATTATAATAATAAATATGCATTTACAATAATGCTATGATAAAACAAGCTTTTTGAGACGGTATATTCTGTGGTAGGTACAGAGGCATTTATTGCCCCATCAATAACCGTGCCTACCATGCCTGAAAAATTTCTTTGTGAAATAAAGCAACAGCCTAGCAGCAGTGGTTCAAGAAATGGAGACTCACCTGGCCCTTTCTGAGGTGAAGGTGTACTGGTAGCCATCAGGGTTAGCCACGGGCACTATGTACCACTCTGTCACCTTAAGTAGCTCACGCCATGATTCATTAGTCACCAGCAGGTGCAGGATATAAGTAGCAACAGCAGGGGAGATCCATTCCCGAGCGTGGATACCTGGAATAAGATTATCAGCCCTTAGCAACAACATGTTAGAAAGGCACAACACCTAAAAAAAACATAACCGATGAATGTAAGTATATTAATATAGACGATACCGACAGATAGTTAAGTAAGACACATGTGCAGGAGTTGGGTATTTTATTATCTTCAATTTATTTAATCCAGACTGGAGCTGAAGACTTCTCAAGGCTGAAAGATTGACAACCTCAAAACTACTATTTCAAGGTGGCTAAGGAAATGATCTCTTCAAAACTACTTCTCCATGACTAAGAGAGACTGACCACCTCAAAACACTGAGGAACTGATCACCTCATCTTTGCCTCTCCACTGCTTCTGCTGTCTCCAGTATTTCGGCACCTCTTTATCTTTTTTTCGACTGAAGAAGCCTGTAAAGCAGACGAAACGTTTCCTCAGTATAGATACCCAACTGTTGTACACATGTCTTAACCCATATAATACATGACCCCAAGCTCTAGATCGAGTGACAGAGAAAGACAGATCACTACTAGTAGTATTATTTCCATTATTACCTCCTTCGATCCAGATCTTCTTCTTGGGTTGTGGAGAGTTGGGGTCTGTGACCTTGACGACGAGCACCCTGCGTCCCTCGACTGAAGCTGCAGCGTCCAGTACCTCAACGAAGCCACCACCAGTGTGGTTCACCCAGCCTATGTAGCCCTCGATGTCGTTCATGTTGTGGTAAGTGTTCCAGTCCATCGCTTGGGGTTGGACTGTACGAGGATATTTGATACGTTACCTCAGGTATAAAATTGTAATAAACATGTGTCAATAATAATAATCCTTAGTTCTACAAGTACATTATACAACTTATACAGACCTAGCTGACATCAGAAAGCCCCTGTTTATCCAGAGCACTTCGGGCAACTTAGATTTAAACTTGTCTACAGGATGCGAACCACACCAGTGGGCGGCTAACACCCAGGTACCTACTTACTGCTAGGTGAACAGGTAGGTAGGTATAATGTTTATTATCTCCTAGGAAACAGGACAAGTGTTTCCTGACACGGGTCTTAGTTATATGATGACCCACAGCTGGAGCTTTTGGTCATCTGACCGAGGACTTCCGCTGGCTTACCCCTCCCCACTACAATATATGATTTTATATAAAATATTTTTAATTATTTATTTCTTAATTTATTGAAAATTTTAAATTTAAAATATTTTTAAATATCGACAAAACATAAAAATATAGTGACAAATCAAAATTTTTATATATAAAATTAAATATACACTGGTGAATTTCTCAATATAAATATTTTCCTTGAGTCAGAGAGAGTGTGACTGTTACACTATTCCCCACACTTCCTCTTCTAGGTATTATCATTCACGGAATATACATATACCTTGAGGTGTGTCTCTCTCACTGTATATATGCCGAGTTTACTCGTAAACTCTAAGGGACAAAGTATTCTTGGCTGGTGAGGAACAGGTGACATGCAACCTTTATGACCCTCGTGTAGCAGATAAACTTGAATCAACTCATCAATCTCTCTTCTAACTTGACTATTTCGTCATCTTCATCCCTTGAATATTCTTTATCTTATATTATCTTCTATAAATTGGAAATAGAGTTGATTCGGTTTTGTTTTTATTTTCAGGTAAATTGAATGTAAGATAACCACTTGTATGACGGTTATTGGACATTTATGGTGTGATCAGTTATTGGGGTGTAATGTTTCTCAAGCAGTGCTATATAACCCTACTGGGTTTAGCGCTTCTTTTACATTATAATAATAATTCACAAGCAGTAAGTAGACATTATATTTAATACTTAAACTTGTTTCTCGATTAGGATTATGGTTTTTCGACTTGTCGAGTAATGAGTTTATCGAGGGGAAAAATTACGTTTTTTTTATATAAATGAGTTTAGTAATTAGCTTAGAATAGATATTAATTTCGGGGGATACAGAGGAGAGTGTTTCTGTGGGTCATGACAAGGTTGTAGGATGGGGATGGCGGGTTATTAACCACTGATGGGCGAAGGTGTCTGGGATGTGAATCATGACTTCAACACTTAGTCGTACCTGACCAACGAGCTGTGGTTCGCACGTCAGGTTGCGTGTGGCCAACAGTAACAGCCTGGTTGATCAGGCCCTGATCCACCACGAGGCCTGGTCACAGACCGGGCCGCGGGGAGGTTGACATCTTGAGCTGAATTAATATTTTGTAGGCTCCTGGGCTACAGGTACTGTCGGCCCCTGGGGTACAGGTACTGTCAGGCCCCTGGGCTACAGGTACTGTCAGGCCCCTGGGCTACAGGTACTGTCAGGCCCCTGGGCTACAGGTACTGTCAGGCCCCTGGGCTACAGGTACTGTCAGGCCCCTGGGCTACAGGTACTGTCAGGCCCCTGGGCTACAGGTACTGTGAGGGCCCCTGGGCTACAGGTACTGTCAGGCCCCTGGGCTACAGGTACTGTCAGGCCCCTGGGCTACAGGTACTGTGAGGGCCCCTGGGCTACAGGTACTGTCATGCCCCTGGGTTACAGGTACTGTCAGGCCCCTGGGCTACAGGTACTGTCAGGCCCCTGGGCTACAGGTACTGTCAGGCCCCTGGGCTACAGGTACTGTCAGGCCCCTGGGCTACAGGTACTGTCAGGCCCCTGGGCTACAGGTACTGTGAGGGCCCCTGGGCTACAGGTACTGTGAGGGCCCCTGGGCTACAGGTACTGTGAGGGCCCTGGGCTACAGGTACTGTGAGGGCCCCTGGGCTACAGGTACTGTGAGGGCCCCTGGGCTACAGGTACTGTGAGGGCCCCTGGGCTACAGGTACTGTGAGGGCCCCTGGGCTACAGGTACTGTGAGGGGCCCTGGGCTACAGGTACTGTGAGGGGCCCTGGGCTACAGGTACTGTGAGGGGCCCTGGGCTACAGGTACTGTGAGGCCCCTGGGCTACAGGTACTGTGAGGGCCCCTGGGCTACAGGTACTGTGAGGGCCCCTGGGCTACAGGTACTGTGAGGGCCCCTGGGCTACAGTACTGTGAGGGCCCCCTGGGCTACGGGTGCTGTGAGGGCCCCTGGGCTACAGGTACTGTGAGGGCCCCTGGGCTACAGGTACTGTGAGGGTCCCTGGGCTACAGGTGCTGTGAGGGCCCCTGGGCTACAGGTACTGTGAGGGCCCCTGGGCTACAGGTACTGTGAGGGCCCCTGGGCTACAGGTACTGTGAGGGCCCCTGGGCTACAGGTGCTGAGGGCCCCTGGACTACAGGTACTGTGAGGGCCCCTGGGCTACAGGTGCTTTGAGGGCCCCTGGGCTACAGGTGCTGTGAGGGGCCCCTGGGCTACAGGTGCTGTGAGGGGCCCCTGGGCTACAGGTACTGTGAGGGCCCCTGGGCTACAGGTGCTGTGAGGGCCCCTGGGCTACAGGTAGTTCATCATATACGTGATGTAATAACATAGTATAATTACAAACTCACAGAAGTAACTGTGAACACTTTTCACTTAATCTCCGGAGGCCCTCCAGCTGGCCGAGGACTCTGAGCTGCAGACCCTAAAGCCCATACCTTAATCCGGCCCTGAACACATCTGTAGGCTAAAGGTGTTAATGGTATGGATCACTGGCTTCACTGTTTACTACGTGGTCAAGTAGGCTGTTGGTGCTAGTGATCAGGCCTACAGGACTGTGTGATGGAAAGGGTCGGGGAGAGAAGGACCATACCTGCTCGTCTCCGTCTGCTAGTGTTGTCCTTCAGCTCCTGCATGTGTCGCCTCTCCTGCTTCACCAGTGCCATCACATCCTCTACCTCCACAGAGTGGGTCATCTCCCACAGCCTCAGCATCTCCTCCACCAGCTCTCGCACTTCCGGCTCCACCACAACCTAAAGAAGTCAAATGAAAAATGTAACTCACGATTCTGTAGCTGCAACAGTTCACAGCTAACATGCAACACCATAGCTGGTCGACACCATGCCTAAACCTTCTAGGGTAGGGTAGGTGCTTGAGCCCGAGCCTTTAGCTCATAAGACTGTCATTCCCATTAGCCCCCTTGGGGCGGGGATGGCAGACCAGAGAGGCCTAGCTTGTGGCTAGGCCTGGGGACAGTTGGTCCCAAAGATGAGGAGGTACTTGTGCCTCCTCCCATGGGAGACTTAGGTCTCAGACACTCCCAAGAGAGGGAGTCAAGGCCGGGCCACCACTTGGAAAAGGCCCGGGCCGGGAGAATACCGGCTAATCTTTAATAATAATATCATAGCTGCAACGGTTCACAACTATCATGCAACACCATAGCTGCAACAGTTCATATCATGCAACACTACAGCTGCAACAATTCATAACGTACAATGGTTGGGGCAGGAAAGCATTACTATAACCTGAAATGCTCAGGAATTATATACAAAATGCCCACTACACGACGATATAAAAATTTCTCATCATACAGTATACACAAGTTAGGCTTCAAAAATCACTCTGACATATGGTGTGGTAACGGTGTTCTCTTGTGTTGTCACAGTAACATTCACTTGCTATCTACTTGGCTTCATACCACCTTGCAACGTCCCACCATGCACCATCACACCATGCAACACACCACTATGCAACGTTCTACCATGCAACATCCCTCCATATAACGTTCTACCATGCAACATCCCACCATGCAACATCCCACCATACAACATCCCGCCATACAACATCCCACCATGCAACATCCCACCATACATCCCACCATGCAACATACCACTATACAACGTTCTACCATGCAACATCCCTCCATACAACGTTCTACCATGCAACATCCCACCATGCAACATCTCACCATGCAACATCCCACCATGCAACATCCCACCATGCAACATCCCACCATACAACTTCCCACCATGCAACATCCCACCATACAACATCCCACCATGCAACATCCCACAATGCAACATCCCACCATACAACATCCCACCATACAACATCCCGCCATACAACATCCCACCATGCAACATCCCACCATACATCCCACCATGCAACATCCCACCATACAACATCCCACCATACAACATCCCACCATGCAACATCCCACCATACAACATCCCACCATACATCCCACCATGCAACATCCCACCATACAACATCCCACCATACAACATCCCACCATGCAACATCCCACCATGCAACATCCCACCATACAACATCCCACCATGCAACATCCCACCATACAACATCCCACCATACATCCCACCATACATCCCACCATACAACATCCCACCATACAACATCCCACCATGCAACATCCCACCATGCAACATCCCACCATACAACATCCCACCATACAACATCCCACCATACAACATCCCACCATGCAACATCCCACCATGCAACATCCCACCATACAACATCTCACCATGCAACATCCCACTATGCTTGGTGTTGAACGCTGTGAGTAGCATAGTAATGTGTAGACCTTACACTTGGCTACACTCTGTGAAGTTTTCATTTCGCTACTCTCACTCTCCCTTCCCTCAATACTGGCTGATAAAAGATAATAGTGATTTACCCCCACTCCCAAACAATATAAATTAAACCAACGTCTGTTCTTATGTACATTATACAGGAGTGTTAAAACTACAGGATAGGAGTGTCGAAACTACAGATATATCGAGGCTACATGTATGTCAAGGCAACAGGTGTGAAGAGGAAAAGCAATACCTGAGTATGTGTAGAGTTGCCGCCCCAGACATCGACGTGTCCAGCATCTTGTAGGGAGTTGATCACCGCATTCTCCTTCGGCACCTCCACCACCCACAGCTGCAGACAAAAACACTCTAGAGTAACTCACAAGATCAGTCGTGAGATACACAAGGACATGTGCAAACTTAACGGAAGGATGATGCAAAGACATCGGAGGAAAAAGGAAAACGAGAGCCAGTACCCGAGATACAAGGACCAGGTCCAGAAATACGAGGGAAGACTAACCAAATACAACTATCACACATTTTAACGACCAGTGAGGAAGGAGCGTGCCTCCAGATGGAACACCGCCATGAATATTAAGAAAAGAACTCATATATTGCGTAGGCTACTCATACCTTTATTAAATTATATTCGAAACGCTTCCATACCTCAGTCTAGAGGAAGAAAACTGTAATTAAAATAGTAATAAGAATGAAGAAAGATACGCCTTTGTTAGCTGAAAATTATAATGAAATATATGAGAAACTCAGCAGTTTTTTTTTTAGAGTTGCGTGAGAAGTTCTATCAGACCCTGATTATGCAGCTAACCAGAAAGTTGAAGATAAGGGCCTGACAAGAACATATATATTGGCACAGGTGTCCCTTGACGTGGGTGCAGCTTTAAACTATCTCGGAGAACAGAATACAACAGAGGTAAACCCAGACCCCCTTCCATGCCAAGGAGATAGATGAATAAGACACATGTACAACAGTCCCTTACGTCAGTGAGACCTGGAGCACCATCAGTTGTTTAAGAATATGAAACAAAGATGCTAAAAAACATCCAAAAAATACCTGCCTTGCATTTGAAATATAACCTAGAGAAAGTGATCCTCTAGTGAACACCGGTAAGGAACGTGATCCTCACTAGTGAACACCAGTAAGGAACGTGATCCTCACTAGTGGACACCAGTAAGGAACGTGATGCTCACTAGTGAACACCAGTAAGGAACGTGATCCTCACTAGTGAACACCAGTAAGGAACGTGATGCTCACTAGTGAACACCAGTAAGGAACGTGATGCTCACTAGTGAACACCAGTAAGGAACGTGATGCTCACTAGTGAACACCAGTAAGGAATGTGATGCTCACTAGTGAACACCAGTAAGGAACGTGATCCTCACTAGTGAACACCAGTAAGGAACGTGATGCTCACTAGTGAACACCAGTAAGGAACGTGATCCTCACTAGTGGACACCAGTAAGGAACGTGATGCTCACTAGTGAACACCAGTAAGGAACGTGATCCTCACTAGTGAACACCAGTAAGGAACGTGATGCTCACTAGTGAACACCAGTAAGGAACGTGATCTCACTAGTGAACCAGTAAGGAACGTGATGCACTAGTAACACCAGTAGGAACGTGATCCTCACTAGTGAACACCAGTAAGGAATGTGATGCTCACTAGTGAACACCAGTAAGGAAAGTGATCCTCACTAGTGAACAAACCAGTAAGGAACGTGATGCTCACTAGTGAACACCAGTAAGGAACGTGATCCTCTAGTGAACAGTAAGGAACGTGATGCTCACTAGTGAACACCAGTAAGGAACGTGATGCTCACTAGTGAACACCAGTAAGGAACGTGATGCTCACTAGTGAACACCAGTAGGAACGTGATCCTCTAGTGAACACCAGTAAGGAACGTGATGCTCACTAGTGAACACCAGTAAGGAACGTGATGCTCACTAGTGAACACCAGTAAGGAACGTGATCCTCTAGTGAACACCAGTAAGGAACGTGATCCTCACTAGTGAACACCAGTAAGGAACGTGATCCTCACTAGTGAACACCAGTAAGGAACGTGATGCTCACTAGTGAACACCAGTAAGGAACGTGATGCTCACTAGTGAACAGTAAGGAACGTGATGCTCACTAGTGAACACCGGTAAGGAACGTGATCCTCACTAGTGAACACCAGTAAGGAACGTGATCCTCACTAGAAACACCACTAAGGAACGTGATCCTCACTAGTGAACACCAGTAAGGAACGTGATGCTCACTAGTGAACACCAGTAAGGAACGTGATGCTCACTAGTCAACAGTAAGGAACGTGATCCTCACTAGTCAACACCAGTAAGGAACGTGATCCTCACTAGTCAACACCAGTAAGGAACGTGATCCTCACTAGTGAACACCGGTAAGGAACGTGATCCTCACTAGTGAACACCAGTAAGGAACGTGATCCTCACTAGTGAACACCAGTAAGGAACGTGATCCTCACTAGTCAACACCAGTAAGGAAGTGATCCTCACTAGTGCAACACCAGTAAGAACGTGATCCTCACTAGTGAACACCAGTAAGGAACGTGATCCTCACTAGTGAACACCAGTAAGGAACGTGATCCTCACTAGTGAACACCAGTAAGGAACGTGATCCTCACTAGTGAACACCAGTAAGGAACGTGATCCTCACTAGTCAACAGTAAGGAACGTGATCCTCACTAGTCAACACCAGTAAGGAACGTGATCCTCACTAGTGAACACCAGTAAGGAACGTGATCCTCACTAGTGAACACCAGTAAGGAACGTGATCCTCACTAGTGAACACCAGTAAGGAACGTGATCCTCACTAGTCAACACCAGTAAGGAACGTGATCCCACTAGTCACCAGTAAGACGTGATCTCACATGCACCAGTAAGGAACGTGATCCTCACTAGTGAACACCAGTAAGGAACGTGATCCCTCACTAGTGAACACCAGTAAGGAACGTGATCCTCACTAGTGAACACCAGTAAGAACGTGACCTCACAGTGAACACAGAGAACGTTCCTCACTAGTGAACACCAGTAAGGAACGTGATCCTCACTAGTGAACACCAGTAAGGAACGTGATCCTCACTAGTGAACACCAGTAAGGAACGTGATCCTCACTAGTGAACACCAGTAAGGAACGTGATCCTCACTAGTGAACACCAGTAAGGAACGTGATCCTCACTAGTGAACACCAGTAAGGAACGTGATCCTCACTAGTGAACACCAGTAAGGAACGTGATCCTCACTAGTGAACACCAGTAAGGAACGTGATCCTACTAGTTTAACACCAGTAGGAACCGTGATCCTACTGTTGAACACCAGTAAGGAACGTGATCCTCACTAGTGAACACCCAGTAAGGTAACGGTGATCCTCACTAGTGGGCCACCAGTAAGGAACGTGAATCCTCATTTTGAACCCCCAGTAAGAAACGTGATTCCTCACTGTGAACCCAGTAAGAACGTGATCCCAATAAACCATAAGGAACGTGATCCTCACTAGTAACACAGTAAGGAACATGATCCTCACTAGTGAACACCCAGTAAGGAACGTGATCTCACTAGATACACATAAGGAACGTGACTCACTTAGTCAACACCAGTTAAGGACGTGATCCTCACTAGTGAACACCAGTATAGGAACGTGATACGAACTAGTGCAAACACCGTAAGGAACGTATCCTTTACTAGTCAACAACCAGTAAGAACGTGATCTCACTATCAACACCAGTAAGGGGAACGTGATCCCACTAGTCAACACCGGTAAGGAACGTGATGCTCACTGTAACACCAGTAAGGAACGTGATCCCTCACTATGAACACCAGGTAAGGAACGTGATCCTCACTAGTGAAACACCAGTAGGAACGTGATCTCATAGTGAACACCAGTAAGGAACGTGATCCTCACTAGTGTAACACCAGTAAGGAAAAGTGATTCCTCACTAGTGAAACACCAGTAAGGAACGTGATCCTCACTAGTGAACACCAGTAAGGAACGTGATCCTCACTAGCGAACACCAGTAAGGAACGTGATCCTTACTAGTGAACACCAGTAAGGAACGTGATGCCCCACTAGTGAACACCAGTAAGGAACGTGATCCTCACTAGTAAACACCAGTAAGGAACGTGATCCTCACTAGTGAACACCAGTAAGGAACGTGATCCTCACTAGTGAACACCAGTAAGGAACGTGAAACCTCACTAGTGAACACCAGTAAGGAACGTGATCCTCACTAGTGAATACCAGTAAGGAACGTGATCCTCACTAGTGAACACCAGTAAGGAACGTGGATCCTCACTAGTGAACACCAGTAAGGAACGTGATCCTCACTAGTGAACACCAGTAAGGAACGTGATCCTCACTAGTGAACACCAGTAAGGAACGTGATGCTCACTAGTGAACACCGGTAAGGAACGTGATCCTCACTAGTGAACACCAGTAAGGAATGTGATCCTCACTAGTGAAACACCCGTAAGGAACGTGATCCTCACTAGTGAACACCAGTAAGGAATGTGATCCTCACTAGTGAACACCAGTAAGGAACGTGATCACTACTGGTGATCTCGTAGCTCGATTGCTAGCGCACTCAGTTCACACAACAAGCTCCGTGGTTCGATCCCCGGTACGGGTGGAAACAGGACGTGTTTCCTTAAAACACCTGCTGTCCACCTAGCAGTAAAATAGGTACCTGGGTGTTAGTCAATTGGTGAGCTTCGCATCCTGGCGATAAAACAGACCTAATTTGCCCGAAATGTTCTTCAAAACAAGGGGCGTCCATTGGATGGGCAGCTTGGCCTGTATATCCCTGTTACATTATACTGTAGAATAAAAAATAACTAGGTAAGTAACGCTATTAAGGAAAATGATCTTTACTAGTGAACCCCAGATAAACACCAGGATGACTAACACGAATACAGTCATCTTAAACTAAAGGCTGACTCATGGTTAAATACTATGGGAAATTGGAAGCTAGTGTCTCGTACAACGTATTTCACTTTCACTAGACACAAAGTTCGTACCGCTGACGGCTGTGAAACAGAAACAGGTTGCAGAACACGCTTTAAATGGCGACTGTTTTGCCCTGTTTATCGCTTTATTAAGTTCCATATAGCAACTCACGAAATGGTAATGACGTGATTGCAAACAAACCATACCACGGGTGGGGTTTGAACCTGCGATCAGGGTCTCAAAACTCAAGACCGTCGCGTTAGCCACGGGTTCAAACCCCACCCGTGGTATGTTTTTTTTTTTTTTCCCATATAGGAATATGTAGAGTTCGGGTAATATAGAGTTGAGGTCTTTGTGTTATAAAATTAGCGATAGGTTATTTAAATTCTCCAATATTTAATGGATTGTGCAATGAAGACAGTGAAATTTTGGCCAGTGTGGAAAAAAAACTTTTTTAACCATAAATAAATAAGAGACCCAATCTAACGTAGATTAGGAGTTAAATTAAGTTTGTTTACTTTTATATTCACTAGAAAATAAGGTGTTTATTGAACCATAACGGAAGTCTTGACTGCACAGCTCAATACTAAAAAACTTACATAAAAAAAAACACACAAGAACCTCGTTTCCTTATTTAGAGTTCTATACAGATCGATGCACTACTACCACTCGCGTCATAACTGATAGGCTATCTTGCCTTAACCCCTCATGGAAGGTTCCTTGATGTTGGTGAGGGGCTCTTGATTTAGGGAATTGAATCTGTGCTCCAGTTCCCCGAATTAAGCCTGAATGCCTTCCACATCCCCCCTCGGGCGCTGTATAATCCTTCGGGTTTAGCGCTTTCCCCTTGATTATAATAATAATAATATCTTGCCTTAATCTCTGGCGGGGGCGGAATATATAATATATATATATATATATATATATATATTATTTTATATAATATATATATATATATATATATATATAATATATATATATATATATATATATATATATATATATATATATATATATATACCTTATAATCTATGTATATTTTCCTTGTCATAGCCGAAGCAGCAGGTGTGCTGACCTCAGTGGTGATAAGCTTGTAATAATGTTATCCTGCATGTAGCAGAATTCGATGAAATAACTTTCAAAACGGGCTTGGTGCCCGGGGATATGGGGTAACATCGCTTAGCTTCGGCTAAGCGCCCGTACTTATCTTGGGTCTAGCTCAGTGGTAAAGTACTGTGGACTCTGATGCAGATATATATATATATATATATATATATATAAATATATATATATATATATATATATATATATTGTGTGTGTGTGTGTTGTGTGTGTGTTGTGTGTGTGTGTGTGTGTGTGTGTGTGTGTGTGTGTGTGTGTGTGTGTTGTGTGTTGTGTGTGTGTGTGTGTGTGTGTGTGTGTGTGTTGTGTGTGTGTGTGGTGTGTTACATACATATCCTCCCACTGAAGTTTCTCGGAGGAATATGGTAGACCTTGTACTCATTCTTATACGCCCATCTGTGATGGTGTGGGCGAGGTAGGTCACCTAAGCATGGCTAGATGACCTCGTGAAGGTCACGTTGCTTCACTCCATGGTGGGTGCCCACAGATTTACTCGCTTAGTTGTACTTACAGGGATCGACTCATGCCTCTTTGCCCCGCCTCTTAATTCTTACCGACCAATTTTAATATCTGGTGTGGTCTACCAGCACTGATTTGCGGTTGTTGTAATGTTCCTTTCCTGGTGTTTCTACTATGTACACTGTACCGACCACAGAGGTACCCATAACACTGCGTGTGTTTCAAGGTCAAGTTCTTTAGTGTCAACGAGAAAGAGGTGGTCAAGGCCACTGTTGAGCTAGCCAGACACGGGCCCTCTGCTGTTGGAAAGTTCTCTGGATGTACGTGCCTCTTAGTGGTGATCATGAGATTCATAGCTATAAAATTAACTGTTCTCGTCAGGAGAAAAACTCTGAAACGTCGAAATTTGTAGTAAAAAGTGTCCTTCATTAATTTTTCATTTTAAATATGTAAACTCCATTCTTCCTTAGGAAAATATTCACTCTTAAAACCATTGAAAAGTCGAGGTTGCTCAGGGCTGACTACCATCCATTTCCTGAAGACAGGGTGGCATTTTCCGTGTCCCACCACACCTGTCCAATCCTTGACCATGTCAGTGTTCTGCTCATGGGTCGAATGTGTTGGCGTAGTCTAAAATCGAGTGGTAGTCCCTGGACCAACCCAGTGGCCTTTCTCTATAAGATTTTTCTTATTTTATAGGATAGAAGGGTAGATTTTCTATGTCATGGATGCGCATGCGGATCCATCTGGCATAGTTCTGGTGATCCAGGACAAACAACTATGGGAGCCATTGTTGTAGTGACTCCACAGAGAGACAGAGAAAGGGAGACAGAGAGAAAGGGAGAAAGCGCTTTAATACCGTTGCTTCCAACACCTAGATGACACACATAGCCTCGTTGTGTAAAGTCCCCGCTACCTGTTTTTTTTTCTTTCATGTATTCACATGTACACACATGAAGTGTTTTCGATAAGCTCTCACGAAGGTCAAGCCCAGAAGTACCTCGTTGCGAATGGTATCCTAAAAGTAGTAGAGAAGATATCTGAATCATGTTTCGTCAGTAGGGTTTTCTAGCCTCCTCACTGTCAGACCGCCTAGTGGATTTGAATACCTCATTCTGAAGTTTAGCCAAGGTCAAGGCACCCTCGTCCTCGTTAGATACGAGTATAGAGGAACAAATCTGCACTGCCACATACGGCGATCTCCGCTTGTGCAGCAGTTGGGTTAGGTTAGTTAAGATTGGTCAGGAAACAGGACAAGTGTTTCCTGACGCGAGTCTTAGTCATATGATGACCCGCTGCTGGAGCTTTTGGTCATCTGACCGAGGCCTTCAGCTGGCTTACCGATCCACTCCCTTAAAAATTAAAGACAAATTAATTTTGTACATTATATATCAGCAATCTACTTGTTGTTCCGCAATAATTTTGACCTAGGGTACATTTTTGGTGTCATACAAATAAGGTTTTTTTTTCTAGTGAAATGTAAACGCAAATACTTATTGATCATTATAATATATGCTTAGATAGTTACTGATCATTATAATGTATGCTCAAATAGTTATTGATCATTATAATATATGCTCAGATAGTTACTGATCATTATAATGTATGCTCAAATAGTTTATTGATCATTATAATGTATGCTCAGATAGTTACTGATCATTATAATGTATGCTCAAATAGTTATTGATCATTATAATATATGCTCAGATAGTTACTGATCATTATAATGTATGCTCAAATAGTTATTGATCATTATAATATATGCTCAGATAGTTACTGATCATTATAATGTATGCTCAAATAGTTATTGATCATTATAATGTATGCTCAGATAGTTACTGATCATTATAATGTATGCTCAAATAGTTATTGATCATTATAATGTATGCTCAGATAGTTACTGATCATTATAATGTATGCTCAAACAGTTACTGATCATTATAATACCTGGGTCCAGTGACCCAGGTCCTAAAATGACCTGGGTCACTGGACTCGGACATAATATTCAAAGCCATTAATAACACGGTAAAAAAAAGTTTGGCACTTTTGTCCGGTCTGTCTCCATGTTCAGAAAATATTGTCCCACACTGCCCGGCTATTAGAAAGTTCCAATATATGTATAGACAGGTGCAGGAGTTGGTATTGTCGAGGTATGAGGAAAGACTACTTGTTCTTGTTCTCTTGTGTTCTCAGTAATGGAGAACGAAAAAGGTGATATGATCACGACATACAAAATACTATTAGGGAATGAACAAGTTAGATCAAAATATATTTTTACCAGAATAGGACGAGGCTGATAATCACTTGTGTAACAGCATAGTCTGACCTAAAGCCTATCGACTACACTTGGGTCATTAAGGTTGCATCTTACCACACGTCAAGAATACTTTAATGTCTCAGCATTAAAGTGGTATAAACCTTGGTAAGAAATACCTTGATCAGTTCTTGATCAAGGTCCCAGGGCCTTGATCAAGAAGGGATCAAGGTCCTGGGACCTTGATCACGTAAACAAACACTAGGATCCTGGGAACCTAGTGTTTCCTTACTTGTTTTTCTAAACCAAAGATTAAACTCAATTTATATACAATGAAAGACTTATCCTGGTGTTTGTCTCATATTGCTCTATTACAACACGGTTTAATTTTTATAACGTATTTTTTTGGCGTTTTAAGCAAGTTAAGTGAGGTTTATCAGGAAACAGGACAAGTGTTTCCTGGAGCTTTTGGTCATCTGACCGAGGCCTTCCACTGGCTTACCAGTTATAATTATAACAATTATCTGACCTTTTTAATTTAGCAACTTTAGGTTATGTTAAATAAACATATATTTAACCACAAAATAGCAAATTACAAGAATTCGGCTACGATACAAATATATTATTATTATTATTATTATTATTATTATTATTATTATTATTATTATTATTATTATTATAATGTAACATACAGTAAAATATACATAAAGATTATTCCTAAAAAGTATATATCATAATTATATAGACTTATAAAACCTTGTAAATAAACCTTATACATTAATAAATTTTTGCACGATTTTTATTTTTTTTCACAAAAATTTGACTAGTTTTACCTGTGTATTTTGGTTGGTCAGGACCCCAATGATGTAGAGACTTAGCACTGCTGTAACAGCCCACATCTAGAATGTTAAAAATAAAATATATTAACAAAAACATTCATCGGATAATATTCACTGAATCATTGTTAATTAACAGAGACTGTTCAACTGCCTCCCAGCATACATAAGGGGGATTACCAATAGACCCCAGCATACATAAGGGGGATTACCAATAGACCCCAGCATACATAAGGGGGATTACCAATAGACCCCAGCATACATAAGGGGGATTACCAATAGACCCCAGCATACATAAGGGGGATTACCAATAGACCCCAGCATACATAAGGGGGATTACCAATAGACCCCAGCATACATAAGGGGGATTACCAATAGACCCCTGGCTGTCTTCGAGCAGGCACTGGACAGGCACCTAAAGTCGGTACCTGACCAGCCGGGCTGTGCCTCGTAAGTTGGATTGCGTGCAGCCAGCAGTAACAGCCTGGTTGATAAGGCTCTGATCCACCATGAGGCCTGGTCACAGACCGGACCGCGGGGGCGTTGACCCCCGGAACTCTCTCCAGGTAAACTCCAGGGCGTTTCTTGCACTCTAGGTGGAATTTGGTACTCTGGATGAGGTTTTCGCGGCTTAGACGAGGATTTTGTACTCCAGGCGAGATTTGTCGTGCTCTAGAAGCTTTTTAGTGCTTACCGAGGCTTTGTAGTTTTCTAGACTAAGTTTGTGGTACTCTAGACGAGATTTGAAGTGATCTAGAAGGCTTTTAGTGCTATACCGAGGTTTATAGTACTCTAGACAGTTTTTGGTACTCTAGAAGATCTTTAGTTCTATACTGAGGTTTATAGTACTCTAGACGAAGTAAATTTATGGTACTCTAGAAGTTCTGTAGTGCTGTACCGAGGTTTATAGTACTCTAGACGAAGTAAATTTATGGTACTCTAGACGAAATTTTTCGGTTTTTAGGTAAGGTTTTTGTGCCTTAGGTAAGAGATAAGATAAGATAACCTGGAGTTTGCCTGGAGAGAGTTCCGGGGGTCAACGCCCCCGCGGCCCGGTCTGTGACCAGGCCTCCTGGTTCGGATTTTTAACCCCGGAGGGTTAGCCACCCAGGATAACCCAAGAAAGTCAGTGCGTCATCGAGGACTGTCTAACTTATTTTCATTGGGGTCCTTAATCTTGTCCCCCAGGATGCGACCCACACCAGTCGACTAACACCCAGGTACCTATTTGCTGCTAGGTGAACAGGACAACAGGTGTAAGGAAACGTGTCGAGTTATAGTACTCAGAATTTTCACTATACTCCAGTTTCCCTTACTCTAGACAATGTCTCTACATTCTCTATACCTCTAGTTATACTCTAGACACCTAGATCTATTGTTGCTTCACATACGCATGTGTATTACGGCACTATGAAATCAGCCTTAATCCAAAATAATAATCTTGAGTAGACCTATATAACTGTGACTAGGAGTCTGGAGGCCAAACTCTCGTGGCGTTACTCAAGCAGAACTAACGAGCAGTGGGTAACAGAGTTAACCAGCAGTTGGTAACAATCAGTGCTAACGAGCAGAGGTAACAAGCAGACTTATCAAAGGAGAAGCAACAATCAGTTTAGTTCAGTTCACGCTAAAAGTAACTGGATGTTCTAAGTACGTAATTGAAGTGTTACCGAGGCGTATATACGCTGACAGGTGAATGACTCCCAGCGTATATCTTTTCTGTATATACACCGATATATCAATGTATATACACTGAGAGGTGTTCGTTTAACTTGTGTTTATATCTGGGGTGATGTGTCAAACGTTTTCCTGAAGTTACTAATGACAGTTCACCCATCTCTACCCTTGTCTTATCTCTGTAACTAGGTCCTAGGTATTTTGTTTATTTATTTGAACATGATACAGAGAAGTACAAAAGAATACAGTTAAATGCAGCATGCCAAAGCCACTTGAATGCATAGCATTACGGGCTGGCTTAAAATTAACTTAAGATTAACTAAGCAATGATGTATTCAGTGGTAAAAACATTATTGTAAACAGATAACAATTAAGCACAAATGAGTATTACAAAGACAGGTCGTATGTTGCTTGCATTGCTGTACAATCAGTATTTATTTATTTATGGGCAGACTTAAAATTAACTTAAGATTAACTAAGCAATGATATATTCAGTGGTACAAAAATTATTGTCAGATAACAGTTTAGTACAAATGAGTATTACAAAGACAGGTCATATGGTCATTTACTGTGTTGCTGTGTAATCACTAGAACGGAGTATTATGTTAGGTAATGAAGTTAAATAGTAACAAAGTTTGATTGGGTCGCAGGTTGACATTTATGAGATACAATTATTCAGTATTTATTTAGTTGTGGGTAAGTAAGTGATTTTTGAGAAGAAACTTGAATTTATAAACAGACAGTGTTTCTTTTGTATTCACAGGTAATGAATTCCATTATTATTATTACAATCAAGGGGGAAGCGCTAAACCCGGAGGATTATACAGCGCCTGGGGGGGGGGGGATGTGGAAGGCATTCAGGCTTAATTCGGGGAACTGGAGCACAGATCCAATTCCCTAAATCAAGAGCCCCTCACCAACATCAAGAAACCTTCCTTGAGGGGAATGAATTCCAGATTTTAGGGCCTTTTATGTGCATTGAGTTTTTGCATAGCGTGAGATGGACACGAGGAACATCAAAGAGTGATCTGTGCCTTGTGTTATGGTCATGTATTCTGTTGAGGTTGGTAAGGAGATGTTTGAGGGGAGGGTTTATGTCAGAGTTAAGTGTTCTATGTATGTAGTAAGTGCAGTAATAAGTATGGATGTTTTGAACTGTGAGTAGGTGAGTATGATTTTCATTTCGTAGATCCCTGTCAGTTTTATTCGATTTTTTTAAGTTACAAGAAGGTAACACTAGCTTGTCGTTCAAGGCATCCAGTTTGTCTGATTCCTTGAGTATAGGGACTGGCATCTGTCATCTCAGGTGATCTTAAGTTGTGATGTGCAGCCACCCAATATTTCTGCTCCTTCCTTCAACATCCATGGTGATATTTTGTCGGGTTCCTGTACATTTCTTGTGTCTGATTCATTTTTTCCACTTCTTCCTTCGTATTGTGTATGATTTTTTTGTCTTGCTGTTGAGTTTTACTCTTGTGAGCTGATAAATTCCCCTGTAGCGTGTGTGTGTGTGTTTACCTATTTGTACTCATTTGTGGTTGCAGGGGTCGATTCAGAGCTCCTGGCACCACCTCTTCGCTGGTCGCTACTAGGTCCACTCTCTCAAAGCTTCAAGAGCTTTATGGTACCTCTTCTTAAGAGTGTACCCACATAATTGTGGTTGCAGTGTGTGGGGGGATGGAAGAGAATGAATAGGAGCAGCAGAGGAGGAACAGGAGGCGACATACATTTAAGACTGACCATCCTACAATAATCCCTCCTTTATCTCTTGATTACTTGCTGCCTATCTCAGATTACCTCCCCTCCCCCCTTCCTTTCTTCCTTCCTCCCTCCTTTCATCCATTCTTTCATTCCCTCCCCTCCTCCGGCTTCAACGCACATTCACGGTTTTATATATATATATATATATATATATATATATATATATATATATATATATATATTATATAGAGAGAGAGAGAGAGAGAGAGAGAGAGAGAGATGACGTCAAAGAAAGTGATCTGATGTACCGTTATCATATATTCCACCTGCCCCTCACCACACACCCCCTCCCCTCCCCAACCCAGCCATCTCTCTTACATACATAGATCACTATTTTCTAGTGTCACTAGTCTTCACTGCTCTCTCTCTCTCTCTCTCTCTCTGTGTGTACTGCTTATCGACTTGTTCACATTATTGAAAACAACTTTCATCCCTAGAATTAAAAATTAAAATAAACCCAGTAGGAGTACACTGAGAGACACTTCTCTCGTGAATATTATTATTATTATTATTATTATTATTATTATTATTATTATTATTACCAGTATAAGGGTAACTAAAGAAGAGGTGAGACAAGTAGCAAGCAACAGACTAGGACATGATGGTTAGGTCTTAATTTTATGATAACCCGCAGCTGGAGCTTTTGATGATCTGACCGAGGCCTTCCACTGGCTTACCCATCCACCCCTTTTAAAGTTCTGGTTATGATATAACTACTGAGATGAAGATCTAAGATATAAGGACTAAAACACTAGGACCTCCAGATTGGCTAATCCCATACAACTTTCTAAATGTGTAGCTTCCTTCCCAGTGATCTTGTTCAACTTTCACTCTCACATCCAGAGAAAGCACATATTTTATTAGGTTAGGTTAGGTAAGGTTCGCCAGGAAACAGGACAAGTGTTTCCTGATGCTGGTCTTAGTTGGAGCTTTTGGCCATCTGACCGACGCCTTCCGATGGCTTACCGGTTCACCCCTTTAAAAATAATGGTCATTTTTATAACCAATTGATGCTATTAACCATTGTTTCTATTATTATTAAAGATTCGCCGGTATTCTCCCGGCCCGGGCCTTTTCCAAGTGGTGGCCCGGCCTTGTCTCCCTCTCTTGGGAGTGTCTGAGACCTAAGTCTCCCATGGGAGGAGGCACAAGTACCTCCTCATCTTTGGGACCAACTGTCCCCAGACCTAGCCACAAGCTAGGCCTCTCTGGTCTGTCATCCCCGCCCCAAGGGGGCAAATGGGGATGACAGTCTTATGAGCTAAAGGCTCGGGCTCAAGCACCTACCCTACCCTAGAAGGGTTAGGCATGGTGTCGATCCACCAATGGTCCAAGTCGGACCGAAACGTCGTCGTAAGCTTCTCTCTTTTATGTGCGGGTTATTTGTGTATTATATAATTATTTTATTTTTTAAGTAATTTTGCAGAAGAGACATAAATACTTTGGGTCTACGAGGAACAAAAACATTTTCTTGGTAACCAAAAAACAATTATCTAACCTAACCTGATAAAAACAGTCCAATCTAACCAAAATTAGACGTTAAATTCTAAGTTACATTAGCTTGGGTTAGATGTCTTGGTTACCCAAAAAAAACTTCTCTCCATAAATCTAGAAAATTTACGTAA